TAAAGAATTTAGTATTTTTTTAGGTTCCCATATAATAAAGAAACAGAGAGTTCAGTTACAGAGACTGAATAGATTTCTCAATTATGTATCATAGGGTCCAATCAGCTCCTTGACAAACACAGTCCTATGAATAATGTATACTATTTATATTTATCTCACTCCTCTGCTCTCCACATTTGTTTGTGTGCTGCAGCTTACCAGTGCTCCAAACGTGGGGGTGAGCTACAGCTGGAACTGAGAGATGACGGCAGGGTGGATATTGCTGGCAGAGCAGTGGTCCTCCTTCAGGGGACCCTCAAACTCTAAAGAAGCCTGCATAAACAACCTGGAGCAGTTGAGCTGTGACATTAACAAGCTTTTGGGCATTAAGAATTCAGAGCGCATCTTAATCTACTGCACTGGGAATGTAGACTGTACAGCACTGCAGTACACTATATGGATTGTACTTATTATATCTACTGTACTCTATACGTCTGTGACATCTATATACACACAAGCTGCTGTTCAGACCTGTTACCAGTTAAACCTACACCCAAAATCCCATACCAGAAATACTTACAAACATATGAATGAAATGAGCTTGAGGGTTTTAAATCTTCCAGATACTGCATTAACACTCTCCCATAACACTCTAGTTTGGAGTTATGTGTATTAGCCAATTTTATTAATGACTTTAAATAAATCAGAATCAAAGCAAATTCAGTAATCTTTGTGGTTCTGTTATTATTGTTGCTGTTAACTATATAGAACAGTTATTTTATGGTCAGTTTAACCTTCACAGACCCATAGTATACCCACACTTGATTCACATGTTTCTCACACATTACATAATAATAACTTGAATATTTGACATTGTTTTACACATAGTTCATGAATAATAAGCCTTAGGATGTGAACAGAGAGAGGGTTAAGGGCTAAAAGCAATCTAATTCTTTGTCTTAAACCTCAGTGGAGTAATTTAGAATGACCATCTATAAATTGTTGATTCTGACCTTATTTATGGTGCTTCTTCACAGAGACACATACAGCCTCTGTTTTGTACTTGCAGCAGTTACTTTTCACCAGTTATCATTAGGTTTTGCAGTTGCAGGTTTCTCAATTAAAATAGCCTTCTTTGAATATAATTCCTTTCTGTCCTCCAACCACATTATTAACTCATCCAGGGCAATATTTGTTTTGATCTTTAGTATATAATATTTATTTGTGCTTTACTGAAGGTCAGCATTTCTTCAGGATACTTTACTTTAAATTGATTCGTTGATGTTAGTATAAAATGGAATACACCTCATTCAAAAAGGTTATTCTGAAATGGTTAATTGTAGAAAAACGTACAGACTCGGATTTCTTTACAGTGAAGGTGATAGGATCCCAGGGTCACGATTTCTACAACACAGATAAAACCAATTAGCGGAATAGCTAAAACCACCAATGAATCTGCATGTCTTCACGAGTTTGTATATTTAATGTTGATAATGGTAAAATGTGGTGAATCTTAAAAAAAAAGTTTTCTTCAGGGACTATTCTGTCATAAAATGTTTTGTATGTACCCCTCTGCCATAAATGTAAATGATTTGTAATTAGGTTTGGTCCAAAACCTTCTCAACACTGTCATAAAACAATGTCTCAGACACCAGGCAGTGCATTCCTAACCATTTCTTGTAGCAGCTTTTTTTTGTGAGGGAGTTTTAGAGGCATTAAAACACTTCAGAAGTCTAGTTCCTATCACCATCACTGAAAAAAACGACTTACTAAGTTCTCTAAATTGGATCATTTCACACAAAACCAGTCTGAGTGACTTTTTGTTTTTTTTGTTTTTTTGAGAAAATCAGTGTCAGTAAGTAAATGCTGTTATGTAGTTTGCTTCACACTTTGCAGTGGGTCTGTTGTGTATTTCTTGTTTCACTGGGGTATAAATATAAGGTTACACATACATAAAATCCCTCAAAACAAGGTGAAATAAGGGAAAAAACATTACTGAAAGCAAATTCTAACAAAAGACAAAACAATCCAATTGAGAAATTATTACATGAATTAATTAAAAATAATTAATGAATCAGCATGAAAGCAAACATATATAAATGCTATTTTAGAATCAGCATGAATCCCTGATGCATATGCAAAAGCATCCCATAATGTCCAATATTAGTACTATAACAAATGCAGTGTTTTTTCAGTTGGGTATATTAAAAACAATTAACTCCCTTTACTGTATTCTGAAACTTTTGCCAAGAATAACAAGGAAAAATAACAACCTGCAGTTACACAAATCAAATGACCATCAGGTGGTAAGACACAAAACGTGCAATAATCCATTGCCAGTTTTTTAGTTAAGAATAAAGGCTCAGAGGACCACTACAAGACGAAACAGTAAAGTGACTTAAACCTCACAATTATAATGTGTTGCATATGCATTATATATTATATAACACATGTTTGTGTGCTATACATTTAAACTGAGATTTAAAGGATTATTTGATAATGTACAGATAGGATCCCATCAAGTAAGCAGAAAGGACATTTCAATCATTCAGTAAAATTTCTTGCAATTCATGCTTTTGATGATCCGTTAGATCTATTTTCAAGTGTTGCGGTCAGATAGAAGATCATTAGTAACTCTAAGAAGTGCAGTCTCTGTACTATGCAAGGGACGGAAACCAGATTGAAAAGCCTCTAAATAATAATAAATTATTTGCTTCCAGGTGGGACGGCAACTGTGTAGCAACTACTCTTTCCAACAGCTTTTTCAGGACGGGGGTAACAACAGCGGTTTTGAGATCAGTAGGGACACAACAGGTTGCAAAACATCTATTAATAAGGTGTGAGATATTGATGGCTATCTCTGTCATACATTCCTTAATAAAGGAGGTTGGAGCAGGATCTAACTGACAATGAGTTGGATTGGATTTTTAATCAGCTCTACTACAGAAACAGATGTGACAGGAGTAAAACATGAGAGTGGCTGGGCAATATTGGGGGAGAAGAAATCCAGGGTGGGCTGATAGACAGAAGTAAGGGGATGGCAGATTGAGTCAATTTTATTCTGAAAAATTGAGCAAATTCATTGCATAATTTAACTGAACCAATAGAAGCTACTACTGGGGGCTGCAGTAGTTTGTCAATAATGTTGAAAAGGGTCCTGGGTCGGCATGAGCTACGGTGGATCACCAAAGATAGATAAGAGGAACGTATTAGAGATGCCCTATTTAAAGCATCTCTGTATCTAGACACATGATCTGCATAGGCTAAAGAATATACAGTAAGGCCAGTTTTCCTACAAAGCCGCTCAAGACGTCTGCCTGTGGCTTTCATAGCCCTAAGCTCAATGGTAAACCACGGAGAAGTGCGGGAGGATGGCACAAGCCTTTGTTTAAGGGGTGCAAGAGCATCTAGAGTGTGCAAGACGGAATCATTATATACAGAGAGAATCTCATCAGGACAGGACAGGGAAGAGATGTCAGAGAGTGGTGAAGTATGAAGTGAAGCAGAAAAAATTAAAGGATCAGGAGTGCATGAAGGCTGACGACACCGCCAAATAGGAGGGGCGTATCTTCAAATGGGCGGGTCATAGCGCCAAATGGGAGGAGCGTATCTTCAAATGGGCGGGTCACAGTGCCAAATAGGAGGAGCGTGACTCAGAGTGCTCCGTTATTGGTTGTTGAGAAGTTAGTTGTGTTTTCTGTGGCGCAGATTTGTTCCTGCTGGCTGGTTGTAAAACAGAATTTGCTGATAATTAGAATTAAATTCTTTTTTGTATCTTTTGTGCATTAAATACATGGAGAGATCGTGATGTCCATTTGATTTTTTAAAAATCTAAAATGTAGAGTTGTTAAACGGGCTAGGTTCAAGTTTGATCCATGGCCTAATAATTCTTTCCCTCCAAGATTTCATGTTAAATGTCTAAAAGTCGTGGATGTGCATCTGTGTGAATATTGAAAAAGAGCACTTTCTTTCAAATCGACCGAACCTAAAGGTGATCAGTGCAGATTTGTTTGTTTTTTTTGTTTTGTTTTTCAAATAAAAATGAAGTACAAGTCAATAATTTTAATGGGGTTCTGAACTGAATAGAAACAAACCGCTGTTTTCATATTATTTCAATAATCATTTAACTACAGCAACAAAGGACTCATATGAGATCATAACATTTTTGGTCGTCATGCCACTCTGCCTCTCACCCAGATGAGTTTCTAATTTTGTGGGTTATATCAGATTAAAGATGGCAAAGATCAGACACGACTCGTTTTTACATTAGAAAATACTCAAAAAGGACCATTAAAAACCATTAACCTAATGGTTTTGCCTTCTAATGGCATAATGGTTTTCTATAGAGACCACTAGAACACCTTTAGATCCCATTAGGAAACCATGAAAGGCGTTCAGAATCAGCCACTGGTCACCTGTTAAACCATTATAATCACTTACACTGTGATATCAGCCTATTAAAAAGCCAAAACACTTTACAAAACCATGAAAAAAACAACAGAAGCACTTAATGGTTTCTATGGGCTTTCCGGGAGATCACTCCTGAATGTACTTTAGTTTAGTTATGCTGTTCTGTAGCTTTAATGTGGCCTTTTCGTTCTGGGGACTCTCTATTTTTAGGAGAGCCAGGCTGACAGTAAGAGCTGGCCTGGCCTGTGGACGGTGTTTTCTCTGAGTTTAATAAAGCCGGTTTATGGACCGACATTTCGACGTCTGAGTTTCTTCTGGGAACTTGCTACTGTATTAAAAGGTAAACACTGAGAAAGGCACTGAGCTTTAAGCAAGTCGAAGACAAATCGTCGTAAAGAGAGCTGGACCCTCTACCGTTAACTCTGTTTGCATACATTTTTTAGACCAATAATAAAGTATTTAACAGAACACAAACACATTTGGAGCTCAGACCGGTCCATTCCGAGTTAAGCCCCTCCTGTCTGGAGTTGGTCCAGTCTGCAGGAATACAGCTTTATTTTTTCATACATGGCTTGATTTTGAGGCAGTTAAATGTTGCCCTCTAGCGGCGAAATATTGCTATTGCGGCGTTTTAAGGTGGACCGGCAAATTCGACTAAGAAGCCGGCGAACAAGAAGCCAACTTCAAGTCTCCTCTGAGTTCAGGACAGAATTAATCATGGAGATTCCCCTGTTCACCGTGGACTCATTTGCCCGTTCACCATTTGAGGGCAATCCAGCAGCAATTTGTCTGTTAGAGAATGTAAGTCACTCATTGCATGGAGAGAAAGTTTTACCCATATTTAACCCCCCTTCCCCCGCTTCATGTAACAGACTTAAATTTATCCCAGCACCTTGCAGCACGCGGGGCTGATACTACCATATACTGACATGGTTTCTTTTAGCCACTGCAAGAAGAGCTCTATCAGAAGATTGCAGCCGAGATGAACTTATCAGAGACAGCCTTCATTACAAAGCTGAAAGCTACAGACGATTTTTGTTCAGGTACTCAACCGTGCTTGACTGAAAGAATTGGTGATACTGCTGCTCAGTCTTAGAGCCTGTGAGTTGCAACCTATAACACGTTAAGAGGTTGCATTTATTAGTACACTGGGTTTGTATGAATGAGCTTTTCACACAAATCATGTATTATATGGCGTTCGTTCTGTTAAGAAGAGTTTTATCTACATGCCACAGTGAAATAAATACATCAGAATAAATCAAAGAATTGAGGAAAAAGGAACTGCTTAAGATCTAAAGCCCGTGTGTCAAACACAAGGCCCGTTACACAATCCTGTCCGGCCCGTGAAATTATTTTAAATTAATTATTAATTAGGCCGTTTCACCATGAGCTGCACTACAATCCCCTGCATGCACTGCAACGTAATGCGCGCCCTCCCCCATAGACCACTGTAGTCGTCCGTCATTCTGTAGTCCTCGTTATGCCCATATTAGGAACTCCGGGTCTAAGCTCAGAATCAATAGGGTTTTCGAAAAATCGCCTCTATCGCCCCCTGTGTTAAATAAAAATGTTCAGAGCCCGACACGTTTTGTCCTGTGAACATTTTTCTCTCGAATACCACTGGATCCTCCGAATTACGAGGTCGTTAAAGAGCTATAATACTAATATTGCTACATGTGAGCTAAAGCTACTGCGCATCAGTTTGATGTCACTAGCTACACGAAACTAAGGCGGGCTGTGGCAGAGCTCTGACGAGTTGTGATACCTTATCAAAATGTTCTACCGTAGCGCATAATTACAGGTATACCCGTAAATAAAACCTCTGAGTGGGATATTTTGATAGACTAAAACTCCTTATCAAAAATACTACCCGTGTAAAAACTACGAGGCTGAATTTAGCTTCTTTTTTCGCAGCTTCTTGTTTGAATATTCCCGTTCCACCTTAAATGGTGCAGCAGCTGTGACTAGCTATCACAAACATTAGCAAACAAGACAAAATACTGACCTGTTAGTTCGGTGGAACAGCAAAAATAATTTAATGTTACTCAGCTGTTAAGCGTAAATAGTGAAACCTCCTCATATGATGCCTTATCCCTCCATGAAACTCGTCAGCTTCTTTTTCGCCGGCTGCTTGTTCGGAGTTCGCCGTTCCACCTTAAATGGCGCAGCAGTTCAGAACGTGACTCTTGCACCATTTAAGGTGGAACGAGAAAATGTCCTCAGAAAAATGTTACCAGCATTAAAGTAATAATTTGGATATTCTGAGAGCCTAAATCAGTTCATCAGGGGTGAGCAGTGATATTAAGCTGAGTCTGTACTGGACTGGCCTGAGCGCAGGTACGTTTGTAGATCTTTTCAAAACAAGCTAAAAGGAAAGATCTGTCGTGTTTCAGTGAGCATCAGATGAAGAACAGAGAACTGAAACCCGCTTAAGGAGGCTGCCAGTTTAATGACGTGAATTCAGTGCGCAGTAGCTTTAGCTCACATGTAGCAACATTCATATTACAACTCTTTAACGACCTCGTAATTCAGAGGATCCAGTGGTTTTCGAGAGAAGAATGTTCACAGGACAAAACGTATCGGGTTCTGAATCGAGCTTAGACCCGGAGTTCCTAATATGGGCAAAAGAGCATGGCGCCGACTACAGAATGACGACATGACTACAGTGGTCTATATGCTGACAGCAATTACACCACAACAATAAAAGAAGCCTGGTGGCTAGTTTAAGCAAATAGGCAGTTTAAAAAAAACTCCTGGATACATTTAAAGGAGGTTAACTGTTATATGTAGCCAATGGATCTTATTGTTTTATATAAAACAAATTGTTTTTATTTTAATTTTTTTTAAAAGTTCAAGTATTCATGTACTATTTCAGTATCTAAATGCAAATACATTTTTTGCTAGTATAGTTTTGGCATATTGTGCATAAACAATGACCAGTTTGAGTCATAGCAAAATGTTAATTAAGATGAAATATATTTTTTATTTTCAGATTAGTTGAGAATTTTAATAGGCCCATTTAGTGATTGAGTTTGGCACCCCAGATCTAAAGCATACCTTTCCAGTCAGAAGCCTCAGAACTGTTTACCTTTACAGCATGTCAGTTCCCCCAAAAGGCCTAAATACGTCTAGTAGTAGCACTACTACTACAATATTAAAGCAATTCTAGAGCTTTTCTGGGCCAAAAGTGGATCGTTCTTGACTGGCCAAAATAGCTCAGTGTCAAGTCATAAACAGGAGAGATACTCAGCATCAGCTGATATTCAGAGTGTCCCCTGAAATGGGGCTACTGCATATGAAAAGAACTTTGGGCCTCATTCACAAATTGTTCTTAAGAAATCTCTTCTTAAAACCCACTTTTAAGTTTTCACAAAGATTCTGACATCCACCAATGTTTTCATATTTGGGATTTGTTCTTAGGTAAAAACCAAATCTACACACACTCAAGAGCACAAAGGTGAGAGTAATTCTCTAGTTTAAGAACTCGTCATGAATCTGACGTAGACTTTTCTTAGGACCTTTATTAAAAACAAATTTATGAGAAACTTAGGGAGATATTGGTGAATGAGGCCCTTTTATTACCATGTGATTTAATATAAATACCCTCAAAGCTGACATCCTGCACTCATACCTCATAGTTGATATTTCAAATCCATTCATTTCAAATCCAGTGTGATATGAAGAGTCAAAATAACTGGACAGTTATTTATGGATGCACTGTACGTACCTTTTTTATTTAATTTGTATTTTACTTTACTTTTTTAAAAGGAGCACGATTCAGCTTGCGCTGGTTCACTCCCATACATGAGATTGCACTTTGTGGCCATGCAACACTGGCTTCCTCCGCTGTGCTCTTTTACAAGAAAGGTATGATACCATAAATGTATCAACATTGGGAATAATATGCAACATGTTTACATACAATCAACAAGAACATAATTTCTGAAGTTATTTCACTGTGGTGTAATATCCTACAGAAAACGTCAACCCTGTGGTGGTGTTTGAGACACTGAGCGGAGAGCTGCGGGTCGGCCAGCGAGGGGAATTTGTAGTGATGGACTTCCCACTGAACAAGCCTGAGGCCCAAGTATAGCCACTCACATTTCCTTCACTGTTTATCAGTTATTGGTGGGAGACATGATGATATATCATTATCACATTAAATCTCCAGAACACTGGCCAACTGCATGTGGTTTCAGCAGTGTTTTAGATGAGGTTCCCAAATGGCATAGCCGTTTAAAGTCTTGCCCTTAGGTCAGGAGATTGTGAATTTGAATTCTGACAATGCTGGGATTGCCCACTTGTAATAACCAATGCTCATCTGTACCTAGTTAGTCTGCAATGTTAACAGGTTAAAGTGTATCTGTGTTTTACATGCAGGACCACAGTCTATACAAGGACCTCCTTAAGGTAAGCTTGCCAGTTTATCATTTGCAAGGAACGTCTAGAGTGATCCTGCACTAAAAGTAAAATCTTTAATGTTGTCTTTGGGAGACTGTACCAAATATACTGGTTAGCTCTTACTATAGGACAGAAAACAGCAGCGCATTCCTGATGGTAGGGATGTAATGCTGTGCAAACATCGCAATTCAACATGTACTGTTGTTGTTATATCACAGTATGATACAGCATACAGAACACAAATGCTAACACTGACATTGATTTATGTATTTATTTATTTATTTTGTGGTTATTCCCCAAACCTTTATTTTTGTAATTTCTCATGTTGTCTCTAAAAGATGTGTTGTTTAATGGATAGCTGGTATAATTTTCTTAGAAGGCATAAAATAAATAAATAAAAAATAAAGTGCAACATTTATATAAAAGTAAACAAAAAATGTAAACTACAAGGCTACATTTCAATAATAAATGAACTGAGCATGACAAGTTCATTTACTGTCTGATCTTGTGTTTCTAAGTGAAGTGTGGATGAAATGAGAGTGAAAGGGGATTTTCTAATGTGGATTTTCTGATGTGGTTAAAGGTCAGTCACTGCCAGCAAACTGTCCACAACTGAATAGAGGTGGATCAGCAGGTTGCGACTGCTTAAAACCTGTAAGGAGAAATAGCTGCTGAGACTTGTGTTTTTTTCCACACCTTTGATAAAGCAATAATTACAAGCAAGTACTACTCAATTTAAGGTGTAATGCAAAGATTTGAACAAGTAACTTTACCCTTGCATCTTCTACTCCAGCAACTGACACATTTGGTGACTCTTTCCCAACTAGTTAGCATATTTGAGGTATTAGCTTGTTTTTGAAGCATATTTGACATCCTCACTCAGATGTGATCCTGGCCAGCTCAAGTCCAGCTGACTAACAGAGTGTATTGACTAACTTGGTCATCATAGACAACTTATAGAGGCTAGGAGCCTTATGAGAGAGATCAACTTAAAAAGAAAATTTATTAATATAGCAGGCAATACCTGAAATATCACCATACTTCACTCCAGACAAATATTTTCCTGACAATTGACAGGCTGCTGTGGGAGATCTGCCCGTTCAGGATGTCTGCCTCTGTAAAACCACAAAGAACCTGCTAGTGCGTCTGGCTGACTCATGTGGCAGGTACTGTTAAGAGAGTAAAGGGGATCTTTCACATGAAATGTTAGTGTTAACTGTGTTTACTGAGTCAGCTTTAAGCTGAAGGTCACTAATTCAGAAACATGAGAAACACATTTTCCAAAATACATTTATACCTAACCTTTAATACTGTTACAACTGTTTGTTGAAGGTCAGCTTTAACATCGATAAAGCCAGAGGCCGAGAGTCTGCTGAGACACGAAAATGGAAGCAAGATAAAAGGCATGATTGTCACTATTAAGGGAGAATCCACTTCCCAGGTGAAATATGACTTCTTCTCCCGCTACTTTTCTCCTTGGCATGGGGTCCTTGAAGATCCAGTTTGTGGTAAGTTTAATTCTTAAAGCAGTCACATTTCTTATTTTACCTCCTAAAGCCCATTCCTAACATTAGTTTGGTTGCATGTACCAAATATAATCACTGTTAATTTTTATGTAATCATTATTATATCTTTATGCCTTGGGCTTTTTTTTTAACTGCACTTTAAGAATTGATATGTAATAGCCCCTGTTCTGATTGACTGGATAAAAAAAAGTCCAGGCTGAAATGTTCAGAACTAATTGTTAAAACCAAAATTAGACACCCTTCAACCACTCCTTTTGGATGTCTGGATCATTTGAAAGGCTGCAGTGATCCATTTGCTTCCCGACAGCTATGAACAAAACGTTTATCATGTTCCAACCCCAATAACTCTGCTACAGACTGTCTACAGTAACTATTCATTCATTTTTTCAACACAAATGGGTTGTCAAAAGTTAATGTGTTCATGGCTGTGGCAATGATTTTTAATACACCTAAAAAAATATTTTTAAAGGCTCTGCACATACAGTCCTGGCTGCCTACTGGTCTGAGCAACTGGGAAAGAAGAAACTGTTAGGTAAGTCTGATTGTCTTTGTATTATTATATTATTCAAATATTTTATAAATTCAGATATTAGTCTAAGTATTTTGCACTAAACATGGTATTCTAAGAGTTAAATCATAATTACTGTAGTCCCATCATGGCCAAGTACTGTGGGTGTTTTAATAAGATTTTTTTCCCCACTTTACTATAAATGACATTCTTCATCTAGAGATCCTCATTGTTTTGAAAGCTGCAACAAACACTCACCTCCTCCAGTTACTTTTATAGCAAATCAAGTGGCAAATTCACTTCTATGTGCACTAGGTGTCCAATACATCTTTTCAAACAGGTCTTCATGCTTTAACTGGGCTATTGAACGAAATCTTAGATGCACTCTTGTGGTCTTCATGTTTGTTTATGTGCTGCAGCTTACCAGTGCTCCAGACGTGGGGGTGAGCTGGAGCTGGAACTGAGAGATGACGGCAGAGTGAATATCGTTGGTCGAGCAGTGGTCCTCCTTCAGGGAACCCTTAAACTTTAGAGAAGCAGCTTCTCAAAGGGCTCACTGTGAAAGTCGTTTATCCATGAAGCTACAGATTATTCCCAAGACTTATTTTTGGGCTGTCATCAGAGGCTGCATTTCATCAGCACTTGTCAAAAAGGTGTGCAAAGTAATCTGAAGAACTTCTGTGTTGTGCTGTGAGAATATTGATTTTTGGTGAGTGGTCTTTGGCTACAGCTTTTCAGGACTACAAAGCTAATCATTTAAATAACTGCTTTATTACACAGACAAAATATCACAATATTATTTACATATAAAAGTTAAAATACATTTCTCAATACAAAAGCTGTAAAAAGGTCTCTCTTAATAAAGACATATGATGAGCAGACATGGCGTAAACCACTTTGTAAAATGAGGTAGGAAATACATCCAGCAAACATCAGTCATTACCCAACATACACATGAGGAATTAATGAACATAACCTTCCTTCTTTACTGGTGACTGTCCATATTTCCTTTCACTGTTAAGGAAACTGCGAGCTTGTGAGTCATGTACCAAAAAAATGTACGTACAGGTGTTTCACATTGAAAGGGACCTCACTTACAGAGTCTGAGAGGTAGAATGCAGATCATTCACTTCATGCATTTCAAGAGGTTCATTAACGCAGGTGGACTGTTGGCAGTGCCTCATGAGCAGCAGGTGGTAGCTGGTAGATGTGGTGCAAGTTAAGGAAAGCAACTTTAAAGAGGCTATCAAAAAAGTCTTTAGTTCTCAGAGTAACATGCTGTATTTCATCATCTATACTCACAACTACTTAAGCATTTACCTTGCCGATCTTTTACAGAATCTAGTAGTAATCAGGTGGTATAATCTTGAATATAATATCTGGCTGATGGGCTGTATAGTCTTGAAGACATTCAGCCATTTAAAGGGCTTTAACAACTCCTTAAATAACAGTCCGCCTATAGGGCAGTGGCTGCTGGCATTTTCACCTGCAGATTCACCTTCCTGCCAATTTTAATCCTAACTTAGTAGAACAGTTCACTGAAAAAATAAATTTACCTGGTCTTGCCCTTATCCCAAACACAGTTGATCAGGGAAGTCTGAAGTTTGCTTCTGTAGTTTTGGAGTCTAAAAGATTTTAGGTGACAGTCCTTGGCTAAACCGAAATGCTATTGGGGAAATAACTAGACTTCCAATACTTATTAGCAACATTATTCTCATAGCTCCAGTGAAACGTAAGAAGCAAACTTCAGACACCAAACACATCTTACCAATCAACTACTTTGGAATAAGATGTAAACCATGTCATTTTTTTGATGCATCATTCCTTTAAATCTAAATACATCTGATTGAGCTAATCTAACACATCTGTTTTGCTCAACCAGGCATGTTAGGAGCAGCGCTGCAGACAACTGGCCCACAGGCTTTAAGCAGGGACAGTGAAGATTTTCAAAACTGTAATTGATATAGTGGTAACACCACAGTCTAAAAACCGATATAACTAAATTAAAATTAGCACTTCAAAAGAGTTTTCATTTTAACAGTGTTGGAGCCAGTAAAGGATATCATGTTCTCCTGCTGCATGTGGGTGAGGAGTTTCTCCAGTGGAGCGTAGAGGCGCAGTGTGGGTGCAGACCCCAGCATCAGTAGCTTGTGTTTGGCTCTGGTGATGGCCACGTTCAGCCTGCGCCAGTCTTTCAGCAGTTCCCCAAGCTAACATACAAAAGGCCACAGAATGAGAACACAAATCAGAATAGAGTATCCAGCCTTAACTAAAGAAAAGCAAACTTGACTATGCAACTTATTTAACTACCTAGACCAACTGTGTCCACACACTATGACAACTGAACCAATCTGTACTGTAGCTTGCATAGTGCATTGTGCTACATCCCTATTACACTTGATTTGTGCATTGACACTTACATTGCCCTCTGGGTGGCTCCTGACAAAAGACACGATAATAACGCTCTTGTCCCTGCCCTGGTACTTGTCAACGGTGTTCACCTCCACAGCTTTGAACTCTGCTCCCTCCAGCAGATTAGAGATGGCCTTCAGCTGTTGCCGGTATGGAGCAATAACACCGATGTCACCCGCCTTGCAGCCTGCCTAAAACATCAGCACAACAGCACAGCTTCTTCAATTCAGTTTTTAACCACTCAACCGCTCCATGCTCATATTTGCAGAGTGGATCTGCTGCTTGTGTTAATGGAAAGATACAGTACTTAGAGCAGTGAGTTAATGCTCATTCAGCTAAACAAAGCCCTCATAACTTGATTAATTCAACCATGGGTTCAAAGTTTGGTGATCAACACAAGGAATGCTAAAGACTGCTAATTCAGAATGCAGTTCATGTGCTGATATAGTAAGGTCCTTAACCAAAAAATTAACTGAACATGTAATACTTACTAACTATGCAATGGTAACAGGTATACAGTGCTGTGCAATAGTCAGAGACCACCATGTGTTTTTCATTTCCAGTTAAACCAGCCATTAAGGACAAGCTACATATTTTCCAGTGACAGACAAAAAGCAAGAAAAACATTTAACAGAAAATACTAACCTAGCCTACTAACAACTAAATATAATACAATTTCAGTATTTAATGTGTCCCTTCGCCTTTATTATTTCCTTTCAGTTTTTCAAAACTGCAGGAAGATTTTTCCCAATCAATTGTTCTGAGAATACCAGTAGCTTCTTTGTTTTCGTAAATTCCCTTTTCTCAGTAACATCCTGACATTACACATCCTTTCAGACTCATAGCATGAAGCTGTCTTAGTACAGCGAAAGGATGAACCACCTGCATAATTTTTCCAGATCCAAAGCCAGAGTGGAGCTTGATTTTCTCTCAAAGATGAAAGCTTTAAGTGCTCCTTATCTGATGGGGACAGTTTTGGTGGTCTACCAGGTCTTGCAGTTGTCAGGAGTCCCATTTTCTGCATATCTTTAGAATTTCACTTTTGGAAACTCCTGTTTCTTTACTTTCCTTTAGCTTTCCCCTACCTTAGGCACGCAGATTATCTTCTATCTAATCCTCACAGAAATAACTTCTGAAAAATTAATAACGTATTTAACGGCCATATTGACTAGAAAAGAAATGAACAGTGGTCTCTGACTTTTGCACAGTACTGTATATCGCACAGGTTCTAACCTTTAGCAGCAGGCTGATGAGAGCATGCACCAAGATGGCCTCTGTACGATTACTCACTCCACCTTTCTCCACTGTCTCTGAGGCAGGAACCTGTGAGGTCAAAAGAGAAAGTGTGTGCCTTCATATCGCTGAAATGTCCAGAGGGTTAAAGTGTTACAAAAGAAAATTTGTAAAAAGCTCTGTTTTAAAAGCCACAAACTATCATGCTCTCAAATGCCAACATGCTAATATTACAGAAAATGCATATGGAATAGCAAGTGAACCATGGAGGACTGACAGGCTACCATGCATGAGCCTAACACACTATACGAAACTGCAGCAAGTATTTTGGGGAGGAAGTGTGAAATCCTGATATCGAAGCCAATCCAAGCCTAAATCAGGCTATTCTTGTCTGACCATTCAAAATATCACATAACCAGTGTGGAGGCAAGAATCACAGAGGATGAATATGGCTGACCTCTGAGGTATCCAGGAAGCAGACAGGATTTTGTGGCTCCAGTACAGCTTGGACCCAGGTGCTGTACTGAGGCTGACACACATACAGCTCCAGCTCCCTCAGTACCATCTCTCTGTAGGGCAGCTGCAGCAATGCAGAGGCTGTTCGCTCCGACCCACACTCCAGCCTGCCCTCATACATCAGGGCATTGCTCAGGGACATGATCACACTGCAGCAGACAGAGCAAACAGTAAAGCATTTACAGCCAGCCCTAACCACACAGCCTATCTGATTTTATCCTCTTTTATCCTCTGTTTCACAGATATTTACATGTTTGATTAAAGCACTGCTACAGCTCTAATACAATATGTCATTGCATTTATTTATAGATGTGCTTAAAGCTGTAAAACAGCAGCATCAGTGCATAGTTTTGTTCAGTGCAATAATATTCAGAAGTTTTTTTTTCTGCACAGTATCCCACCTGTTCATCCTGTACTGCACATTCAGCTGAACCACAGCCTCCTTATGGTGCTCAAGACGCTTAAACAAGCTCTCATCCATGCCTAGAGCCCTGAGGAAGATTTAGAAAACAAAGCTTGCTTGCTGTATCTTTTAATTACATTACAGCGATAACTGGTTGATTAAACAGGGGGGAGACATAAGTAAAGTGCCCTTCACAACAACCTATGTGCGTGTTTCAGTTAAACAACCTAAAATATTAATAAAACATGCAAACAACTCCTATAAAACAGTACTTTAAGCTATCTCAGCCCACTGTAAGTACACTATCATCAAATTATATCATTAAAATACTTATTTTTGCATTAATGTGTGAAACATCATTCTTTTTTTCATGGCTCATCTATTACAGGTTATGAAAAATGTTTGTCTCCCTCAACCCTGTTACCTGTAACACATTCATCAATATTCTACGTCACATATTCAGCAGGAAGTCCTCTTTACTGAAGACCATGGGAAGATGTCTCATCATTTTTTAACTAAAAAACACAGCCTTGTTACTTATTTAAGCTATTGTTAACAAAGAAACCTTGTAAAAATTAGATATGTTATTCCCAAGGCTATTCACTTCTTTACACAGAACAATTCAATGTCGAGCAGTATGTATAGGAAAATAAGAACCTGGCTTCAGCATTCTGGACAATGGGAGGCAGCTGCTGGTGATCTCCCACAAGAACAAAGCGCTGGGCATAAAAGAGTGGCCCCAGACACACAGGCTGGCTGATCTGAGACGCCTCGTCCACAATGCAGAAGTCAAAGCGTCGTCTGCTGAAGATTGGGTGTTTCACGCCCATGCATGTTGTGGCCACAACGAGCTAAGAAGAGAAGGACGAAGAGAACAGATTCATTGTCAAGTAAAACATTTGACTGGATGATTAAATTTTCCTTCACAAGTAAGCAGAACTCCTCACCTAACTGACAGATTACAAATCAAAGTTATGGTACGCCAATAGGTTGAGACCACCATACTAAACCAACTTCTCTCACCAAACACAGTCTTCCGCAATTCATTCAAAAACACTGTGCTTTAAGTTAATTATGAAAAAGGTGTGCAAGTGGTGTGGTCCACTGGTTTAGTTTGGTAATGAAACACAAGGTCAAGCCTCAGTGAGTTTTGCCAGTGGAGTTAATCAGATCTTCATTGAAATAAAGAGCACAACAAGATCAAAAACCCATATTCTGCATTCAAAAAAACTCAAAAAATGTATACAAATGTACGGGTAGAACAGATGCTGCCAGTTTAGCAACAGACAGCTTTATTAGGAACAGTTAGGAAAAGTTTTTGGGAAAAATGATTTTTTTTGGATTATAAAAAGTTTGAATTATATCATTGGTTAATATTACTTTAATGGTGTACAATGAGACCATGTTTCACCTCCTCCTCCCACCATTCCTAACCATCATCAAACGAAATGCTCAAACAGCTCAGAAACCTCATTTAGAAATGTGGCAATATGGAAGGAAAACACTTTAAACTTTTGATTCACATCCATTTTAGCACAATGCTATCACAGTGTGTGAATCACAAGAAATCCATTTGCCACCCACCTCTTTGTTGTAGAGATTCTCCAGCTGCTCGAGTGTATGAATGCCCCTTGCCCGACTCTGCTCCTCAGTGAAGGACAGGATGTCCCGGTGCACTTTCTGAGCTCGGCCCAAGCGCAGAAAACCGATCTTAAACTTCTTCAGCTTCAGCAGGATGTTGTCCACTGCAGAGTGTGTGTAACTGGTCAGGAGCACACTGAAGCCACAGGCGTGCAGAATACGCACCTTAGGGATAAAGAGCAAAGTGAGGAGGAGAGGAGAAATGCACCCACACAATTCAATTAAGACATCACATTTAAAAAATAAATAAATAAATAAATAAAAATAAGACAACCATCAACAAATTATAAGAGACATTACTGTTAACTGCAGTGATACAGATTCAGAAATACACCATGGAATGTGTTTACACTGTCTAATTAATGACTGTAAGAGGTTAAACATAAAACCATACAATAGTACCAATAATAAACTATTAAATGATAACACTATTAGCCTTACTAGGGTACAAATCGTGGTAGTCTTTCCAGTGCCAGGCATTCCTACAATAAGTGTGTAGTCTTTGGACAGGAGCACCTTTTTCATGGCTTGCTTTTGAGGCTTGTTGAGCCCTGAGAGGCAAAAAAAAAAAGACAACGTCAATGTCATAAATGTTAAAATAGTAGAGTAACAACTTTCTCCCCAAACACAGAGAGGGTTTTCCCTAAATGTCTCACACATTATACAATAATGTGTAAAATTAGGAGTAACTTTAAACATGAAAAACTATCGTTTCAGTAACTTAAGTCAACAAATACCTTTTAGAATGTTGGCTACGGTGTCTTTGGCATCTCGAGGCAGCACACTGCTGAGGCTATCGATAAACTGGGGTGGCCTGTACTCCACAATCAGCTGCCTCAGCTTCTCACTGCCAAACAGAGCATTAGAACCATACCTACTGTTAATTATATCAGTGTTTTTTTAAATCAGACCTTTACTAGCCAGATGGGCTGTTTTTTGGGGTTTCTGGGTTTTGGATAGATGTGTAATTGTGCAGACCTGGTCAGAGTGTTTTCCATCAGCATGGCCAGGTTTCCCAGATGAGTGCTCAACCCTCCTGCACCCTCGTCCTGGTCCAGACGGAACACCATATTTGAGGAATATTTGGAGAGGTTCCTGGAGCATTGAGTATCATGTTAAATCATTTCTATATCAAATAAGAATCTACAACTGACGTTCACTGTTAGAAACAATCCACCACCAACCCATCCCTTAATTTCAAAGCAAGCCCTGATGGGAATTCAAAGGAAAAGTAAAACAAGACAAAAATGTGACGGACCAAAACATGCAATGAATCTTCACATTGTATTTGTACAATAAGTTGGCACTACGAAATGGTCAAGGAGAATTACGAAATTACTTTGCAAGAAAGGAAAATCAAGCTTTACTAAGCTGGTTTGAGCTCATACAGAGTGGGAAAACAGCACATGACCAAAACTTACTTATCCAGAGAACAGGTCACTCTTGTACTGGTTATTGCGGTGACGTATCCTGTGGCTATACCAATGAACCTGGAGTCCTGGTCACTGACTGCGAGTCTGTCCCCCACGATGAGACCAATGAGAGCATGCTCTCCGTCCCTGCGATCAAAGTGGTGTACATACACACCGTCGGAGAGAGTCGTCACACTGTCTGCTAGCACCATATTTCCGACGCAGCCACCATTCTTCTCCCTGAGGGTCAACAGTGAAATGTGGCTGATTCAGTTGAATGTAAAGCATGTCATGTAGCGATTCCCAACTTCCTTAGAGAAATATTTCTACAGAATTTAGAGTTTATTGGATCAGGTTCACAGTTGATCCAAGTTGGAACTGAACAGTGCACATAGGGGAGATCTCCAGCAGGAGGGTTGGTAACTGATGCAACAGTTTGGTGATGTTTCCACTCCATCCAAGACCAAACTCATACAGGGAATACTGCAGCTGTCTGGACAAAGTAGGCACTTATAGTTTTAACTTCCAAATGTACTCAAGTTACCATATCCTTCCAAACCACTGTGAAATGTCACACTGATTAAACACTGGAAAGCTTTGGAAAACCATTTTTTCCTTTATTTTCCCTTGACTTTCCCCTTCCTTCTGCATGTGGATTATCTCATCACAGAAATATCTACTTTACTCATTTTAGATGCACATAAGAGACATTTTAAAGGTAGTTAAGGTGTGTTTGGGTAGTTGCTTGTGTAAATGTTAGTGTCTCTTTAAAGGGTAATAATATTAGTGACACTTTTGAGAACAGCTTTTGTTGGGAGGACACAGCTGCATCTTTGTGGTAAGACTGGAAGGATGGAACAGTTAAAGTGGCAGTAGTGTAAAGTGTAAACAAAGTAACTACAGATAGATTTGATTTTATGATTAGTGTTGGAGGCTTTTGTGTACTTTGCTGTTGAATATGTTTTTCTTGCTTTTTTTCCCCCTTACACTGAAAATAAATAACTTGTTAATGGCTGTTTTAATAAATAATATGTTGGTCTTGCATTGGAGTTTTAGACAATACTGTGCATATATTACACAAATAAAAAGTTTTTGGCCCACCTCTCCTGAGCAGACTGCAACCAGATGTTGCGCCGGCCTCCCTTGTTCTCCATAGTGTGGGCCTCAAGGTTGCAGAGTAGCAGCCAGTGGCTGAAGTACTGCAAGTGGAGCTGGCTAAGATGTTCACTCTCCAACTGCAGAAATGCCTGAGAGCCCTCAGGGGGACATTCACCTGGAGCCCTCTCCGCAGCTCTACAAACACACACACACAGAGGGAGAGGAGAAATATTTTAGCAAAACTTCCACAGAAAACATCACAGAGAGCAGAACTTGGGACTTTTTTTTTGTTTACAGGTGTGCTGCATTACGAGACTGCTGTAAGTACCTGTTGTAAACTGCACAGTTTCTCCTCTGAGGGCAGTACTTGCAGGCCTGATGGTCAGAGATGACGGCAGGTAAGGGTGCCATTTGGCTTTTGCCCTCCACCCTGACAATGCTCTTACCAAGATGATGAGCCAGCGTGTTCCTCAGTTTGATCAGTTCTGTGACGTCCAAGAAGAACAGGACAAGAACCAAAGAGAGTTGCAAGAAATTAATAAAGCTATAGTAATAAGCCAATTTAAAGACCTTATTTAAAAGGGTTCCATTTTTATCATTTGGGTGATTTTATGCACCTAAAAATTCTCAGTATCGCTAATAATTAAACAGACTGTTTTTGTTACTGTGCCATTAAGACTGATATATGAAAATGAACTCAGTTCTGACTGGCTGCCCTGTATTATCTCATTTAAAAAGCAGTCCTAGTTGCAACAGTCCTTATAACTTTAGCGTGAATGGGTGAAGCTAAACTGCTGTAGGCTGCTCTGGAGATATGTAAATGTGTTATTTTTAATGACCTCATAACACAGTTTTTGCAGCTTGGGTAAATATATGGACGATATAGAGTCTGTAGTCAATGGTACAAAAGGTCTAAAATAATTAGCTGTCAAATGAAGCCTTCCTATACGTTATGTGTTAAAATTTTAACAATTCTCTCTAACATTTGAAAAACAAGAACAAAATTATTAAAATAATAATAAAGAAAAACACTTTCTGTGGATAGTGTGCAAACTACAGAACTCATTTTGTGGCTAGGGATCCAACCATGTCCCATCAAAATTTAAGACAAACCTCTTCTGTCCATGTGGTTGCCCACGATGGGATGTAGGTTGCCAGTCTTCAAGTAGACAAGAAAACCTGCCTCGGCATCTACCCGCCTCTCAGAACTCATGAGAGTATACAAGATAACCTGAAAACCACAGGAGAAAAAATATATATAATCAGCTTACAGATTTAGCTAAGCACCAAACAAAATTATCCACTTTCTTTCTAATTAAAAACATCAAGAATTCTGACTGAATTCAGACACCTCTACTATTCCACTATTCCGCCATAGTCTGACCCAGAGCTCTGCATGGAGGGTCATGTTTAACTAGGTCTTCCTCACTCATTACCTGGCTGCGATGCTCAATGGAGTTGGACTCCTTTCCAGTCTTCAGTTCCAGAGGCACAACCTTCTCCATGTGCTTCCTGCCACGCCGGTGGATCCTCACCTCTGCAGTCACGTCGATCTTCCCCTTTAGACCAAACCTTGGAGACCAGATGTTCTCCTCAATGTCAACAAAGTCAGTGACCGTGACACTGCAAGCTGAGTCCTGGCGGCTCAAGGACCCATCACTGGGACTGATAATACAAAGACGCACAATGTCATCATGCAAGGGCAAATTTGACAAAACTGTAAACAAACAAAAAGGAAACACACTAATGGTCTAAGGTAAGTGATGCTCACAGTTTAAGAGTCAGTTGTTTCTGCCCTGCCAGTGGAGACGTGTGGAGGTAGTCATTTGCCCATCCAGACAAAGCAGGAAGATATTCTTCTACCTCCTGCTTCATATCTGCTTGAGTCAGTTTCAAACTGTACCTGAGCAAAATTGAACTTGGTCAGAGACAGCAACACTGCAAATGAGCCTTTAAAAACAGAAACATGGCTCCTGAAACCATGGCTTGATGGCTCTTACATTTGTCCAAGGTAGTTGGGGCTGAGCAGTGCTTCACTGGCGAGTTTCTCTAGTGTCACTGGTGAGAAGTCCAAAGACATTGCAGCTTTTTGGAAGATGTCATGAACTATGGTTCCATTCAGCATCTGCTTGCTGCCACCATCAAAGGTCTATGGAAACCAATGTTCAACAAGGATTGTCTAGTTATTTAATGTGTTATATGCTTATTAAACGCTGAATATTTTCTACGGCCTCTTCATTAGTTCCATTGGTCAGACTTTATAATACCAGTGTTTCCTAGAGGTCTAAAACAAACCCAGAGGGAGCCCCATGGGGGGTGGTGTTTGTAGGGGAAGTTATTTGAATACATGGATATTTCATAGCATTTGTTTAATTAATTAAACCTTCAAAAAAGGCATCGAGTAAAGGAATATTAACCCTTCATTTGCAGATGTGGACCACTTCGCAGACATTGCAAAAGTGAAGACTTTAGGTTAACAATATATAACTATATGTGAAAAGGGTGATGCTTTGTATTCCATGAGAATTTAAATGGAATGAAATGCAAATTTCATGTTGTAAAAATGGAACAAATTATACTCGGGTGACTATAAATATACTGGGGGTGCACAAGTATATACCCTATTTGTAAGAAATACCTTAAACATTTCTCCAAGTACAGCTCGTCTCATGCAGCGGATACTGCTAGCAATGCTGGTCCCAGAGATAAGCAAATCAGGCAGCAGCACCAGGTAACCAGAGTTCCTGTCAATCACCCATGTGCCAGACATGTTCTCCCCTTCCAAGTGAATTATGTCCCCCACAGCAACTGGAGTGGTATGCCTTAAACAAGTAGTAATACACAGGTAATTTCTAGTCAAAACATCCAGCACAAGTAATGAGATCAACTGTCTTGGCAAGTATTTGCTACCATCCATCTTTCAGCACGCATGTCTCTGTGGACTGCGCAGTCCTTGAACAGGTGATGGTTAAATGTTTCTCAGTGTAGCCTTGATATCCAGTAGTTTCTTTCACATCAAGAACCCAGTACCGGTTATGAAGTCCTCCAGAGAGTACAACATGTTCTGGAATCTTTTTTCTGCAGACCAAAAAGATACAAACAGATAGTTTTAAAGACAACGAGAGCTGCTTATGTGTCAGTAGACAAACAAAGCAGAAGAGACTGCATTTTAAGAAAGAAATATCAAGTTGAATCACAAGGCATACTCAAGTTTTGAAATCTGGTGTTTTGGCTCTCCAAAGCTTTGCTCCATCCCATCATCAAACCAGCTGTCCTCCAAAACACCAAAGTTCTCCTCAGAGACTGAGAGCACCTTTTCATTGGCGCTAAGTTTTTTCACTTGATCTTCAACAAGTCCCTTGAAGGATTTCTTCTCTTTGACTGGACAACTGAGAACAGCCTTCTCATTATTACATATCCATGAACTGTATGACACCACAAGATCACATTGAGTGTCTCCTGACAGTTCAGACACGTCTGTCTTTGTTTCTGTGATGAGAGGAAATGCATTCTCTTTCTCTTCTTCACTTGAGCTACTCTTATGACGATGACTGGCTCTTGAGAGTTTTGAAGTTGGCCCTGTAGCACGAAATGGCTTCTCTGACATCACCTTTCCTATATTTATTTCAGACAACTTTGATCCCAATATTGTCTTCTGAGAAACAATCTTCTCAGCTTTGTCAGACTTTTTCTCAATGCTCTTTGAGTAGCCTCTCTGTGAAGTGTCATCTTTTACATCGGTAGACTCACGAATGATTCGGAGGAATTTATTCAGGTCATCTCCTGGTGAGCTCAGGTCTTTCTCAGGATCCTTCAGAGGCGGCCTGGTTCTAGGGCGCTTGGCTTTATGGAGGTTCTCCGAACCATGAATTAATCTTTTCACAGAGCCAAAATGACCAAAACCATTCTTTGCTTCAAAAGTGTCTCCAGATTTTGGGCTCGTCTTGTCCTGTGGCTGCATCGACCTGCTGGCCATCAGGTTAGCCTTGCAGCCAAAGCCTCTGGAGCGTGGACTTCGAGAGACAGGGGAGCTTGGACCATCTGGGGACGTCCGTGCTGGACACTGCGATTTTGTCTGACCGTCAGGCGTCTCTGGTATGGTGAAGGGGGACAGCGGGACGCTTGCATTTTCCTTGGTACGTGTCTTCACCACATCAGAATCTATACTTGCAAACTGAACACAAGGCTGTACCTCCTTTCGGGGATTTTGGAGCCACCTGTGAAAATATGGGATGGTAAGGTACAGGACTGACACCTCCTCTTTCAACATTTCCTCTTCATGTTAGTTTACTTCATCTGAACATCCAAACTATTAACCAAAGTTTATCAAGTTAACTTAATATTAAAAGAGATTTGGTACCCGTATTTCAAATTAGACATTTTGGATGTTTTTTTCATTCTAATTTTAATATATCTTTATTTTCATTATTATTCAGCCTTCTCTGTCATTACACAATCATCTATAGCCCTGTTCATCATTTTGGACACATCTTACATTTCTGTATTTTTAATAGTTTCCTACAAATTAGTTGAAACAGATTACAATCTAGGACTAGTATGATTATCAGTACACTTACTCTGTCTCATTAACATGTTTGACCACAGCCTGACAAGTTAAACAGGAAATGAGAATGAGGCTTTCCAAAAGCATACTACTTTGGTCAGTGGGTTTAGAGAGCTTGAAGCTTGAAAAAGCATGCTATCCAGGCATAAATCACATCCTCACACCAGCATTTTGACAGAGATAGAGACATTCAGGGTAGAGTTTGAACAGACTGAGTGATGAAAAAAGATCAGGACTGTCTGTTTTGCCATTCATCCTCCAAAGGATCATAATCAGGCCCTCTGGCTGCTAAAGTGTGTCATTAAGAAAGGCCTGAACAGCAGTACTGGGCAACCAGTCATCACGACTTTCACCATTATGAGCATGTAATTTGCATACAGTCCAGAAAATCATCCAATCATTAACCAACCAAGGTGTCCTATATTTATCTGATTTACACGACAATTTTAACTGTTTACTCTGTGTGGTCAACAGTTCTAAAAATCCAAACGTATAATACATTCACACAATTTTACATTCAGTAACTCTAGACTGACCGCAGTAAATTCATTATTCCTCTCAGTAGTAACACACAGAGCTGTGGCTGATCCATCGGCCACATTTGAGTCGTTCAGCAGAGTCTGAGTTCGAGTCCAGGAACAGCGCTGTTATCTACAGTCTGCTGGCTCATAGGGGTCCTATGTGATTCTGTGTGTTCAGATCTCTTTTCTGAACGTTTTTACGATCATTGAAACAATAGACACATAAAACTCGTCCACACAGCTATTTCTTGACTTTGGACTGGAGATCAGGAGCACTTCAGTCTAATAAATGATACGTTTACTTTCGGAACCTGGAAACGACATTCATTAACTATCTATCTAGCTAACGCTACTTACCTTCGAGAAGAAAAAGGTAGAAATGTTGGACTGCAGTCCGATGCTCATCTGCGAAACAGAGAAGTCCACAGTCAGCACTGACACTGCTACTACACAGCTCTCCCTCAGAGTGGCCTCGATGGCTAACTGAGGTCTGTAAGCTAACTAGTTACTGTTTGGTGTTAGTGTTTTGAAAAGACGGGTCTGGCTTAATTGTTAAAGGCTCAAATATAAACAGCGTTACTCACCGAGCTTTTCTTACACCTGCTTTTCAACATCATCGACGCTGTAATTTAAGAAAAGGGACGTTATCAAGTAACTTGGCGCAATGTCTAACTTTAATTTCCTGAGCGGGTTAACCTGAAGACTAACGGCGGCAGCAGCTGCGGTTAACGTTAGTTCAGTTAGCTAACCTAAGTTAACTAACTACAGGTCCGCTGACTTTTACTGAGCGAATTCATCTCGATCAGGTTTATCTGAGCAGCGATTACACTCAAGCAGCTGTTCACCATAAACCAAAGGAGCAGCTAAAAAAGAACGATCTTTCGTTAAATTAAGAAAAGAGAGACAGCTCTGTGTCCGCATCCACACAAACACCGCCCTGCAGTCTTCAGCTCTCATTCACAAATTCGCGCGAACGGATGTGAGCAGCGAGCAAAACACAGAAACACACACACACATCGCCCCCTGCTGGTATAGCGCGGGGTTGACAATCTCGCTCTTCTAATTACACTGGATGTCCAATAGTATCCAGACGTCCCCTCTAAAGAGTTATTCATCTACTTTAAAGTGACATGTGCCTTCAGTTGTATAATCTCCATTGAGTGGCATTGCTAATACAATAGGACACTCTGGAGCAGCTACCCATAAGCGTAAGGTCAGCATGCCCAATGTTTAGCATCGGCTAGAGGGTTATAAAGCCCCCCAGCTTTGGGCTGTGGAGCATGGAACTGCCTGTTCTGGAGTGATGCAGCACAATCCCATACCTTTGCCTGTGCAGTTTTAAGGCATACGCGATAAGAATAGGCATAGGCCCCCCAGTCCAAGCCAACAGGGTTCCTGAGTATGTTTCTGGTATTATTTGTCAAAACAGTCCATTTCTACACTGCCTCTGTATCCAGATTAATTAGGTATTAAATCTCGCTCTCTTATTTTGCATACAAAACCATATGATCGCTCCTGCCCCTAAGTAGGATGCTACTTAGAGTTGGAGTAGCACTTGTGGTCCAAAACTAATCATCCAACATCAGCGTCCACCCTCACTAATGCCAGAAGTAGAGGCTGTTCCTGCAGCCTAGTCTCGCTTTTAATATCCTTGTTTTCAGAAGAAATGCTGGATGAGCAGGCTTCTACAAACATTTGGGCATGTGTATTTTTTAGTATATTTTGTACCAAAGATTCACAAAAATACAAAAAGTATCACAGTGAATGGAAGCCACAGCTTGTGGACCCTGTGCAGGAAGAGTTGTTTATTGTGTGTGTTTTAGTGTTAATGGTTAATGACTTATGATAAATATGGAAAAGTGATCCAGGCATAACACAATAGCATTGAAACCTGAGCTACAGCTCTAAAACATTCATGGAAATCCAGCGCAGTCCAGTCAGTAGGAGGTCATCTGCAGGAGCTGATATGGAGGGTATAGAGCAAACACTGAAATGTCCCGTCTGCGTGGACTTCTTCACTGACCCTGTACTGCTTCCCTGTGGCCACAACTTCTGCCGGATCTGCATCAGCATTGTGTGGAACATGGACGGCTCTGGAGAAGGTTTAGCTGGACCACTCTTCTGTCCTGAATGCCAGATTTTTCTTCCGTCCGACCTGAAGCTGGAAATCAACATGGAGCTTTGGGAAAAGGCACAGCGTGCAAGTGCTTGTGGTGATGGACAAGAAGGAACCCCATTAACAGCATCATCATCAGCTGTGATGTGTGATCACTGCATTGAGAGGTGCTCTGTGGCTGTGAAAAGCTGTTTGAGCTGTGACGCTTCTCTGTGTTCCGCTCACACCCTTCAACACCTGGAGAAGGAGGTTCTTAGGGGACATAAACTCATCGAAGTGACTGAAAACCTGCTGTCTTATAAGTGTGGAGAGCACAGTGAGGAGCTGAAACTGTTCTGTCAGGACGACCAGGCTCCAGTGTGTTCACTCTGTGTGGTGGTGGGTCTACATAAGGGTCACCAGATTGTTCAGCTGCAAGAAGCCTGCTCAGACTTCAAGGTATGAGACGGCCAATGATGGTGATTGCTTTCACTGCAACACAATGATATATGATATGATATGATATGATATGATATGTAGTACTGTATCCGATATGATATGATATGACATATGATATTATGGCAAGTAACAGTAATCTAGTAAAAATAATCCTTTTGCCCTTTACAGTGTTTGTCTCATGATAAGTGGACCAAAAGAAATGGCCTAAAATGACCTGGAAAAAAGTCTGGTTCTACTGACTTACAATAAATTTAAAGTGATTTTATCAAGATTTAAAGTGATCTTATCAAGTGAAATTATCTCACTCTGCTCACATATAATTTCCTTCAAGCATTATTTGTAAGTGCAGACATATCTTCATTTATCAAAATGACTAAAATTACTTTTACAAACAAAAAATGTCTACAAATAGGATTAATAATCCTATAATATTCTGATAGTAATCTCATGATAAGAAATATTTGATGTATTGCCTAAATTTAAAGGAGCATTCCAGCCTGAAACTAGAGGTTATTTGTCATGCTATGCTATGCTAACATTCTCTAGCACAGTACTAAACGCCTCAGCGTCATCAGTTTGACACAATTCACTATTTGGTACAATTTTTATGTCGTTGTTCATCAGTGTTCTTTTACTACACAAAGAAAAATGATGTTTCTTCAAGGGTTAGTAAAGAAAATGTTTCTACGTAGAAACATTCATTCAAAGAACCCTTTCCATGATTAAAGGGTTCATTGCATTGTAAAAGTGTCCTTCAGAGAGATGGAGAATGTGCTGTGGATGATTTCGAAAAGGGTTCTATAATGCACCAAAAAGGCTTGTTACAATAGAAGAACCCTTTTTTCTCTATCAATTTGAAGAACGCTTCAGATAGATGCCATGAACCCTTTAACCATGCAAAGTGTTCTTTGAGTGTTCATGGTTCTATATAGAACCATTTTCTTTACTAAAGAAGCCCTGAAGAAACATCTCTTTTAAGAGTGTACAATTTCCAGCAGGCTTTACGAAAATACATCATACAGCCAGTTCTTAGGCTAATAAATACAACCAAGCTAGCATTTGTGTAGCTGTTGTATTGGTCATCGCACAAAATCAAAAGGTGAACAGTGATTCTATCTTCATTCAGCGCAAAATGGATGGTCTTTCAGCCAAAAGAAAAGATGCCTGTATAGCCAGGTAGCTACCTTGCTAACTCTAGCTTGTAGCTTGTTGTCCTCCTTATCTGACAAGTCATTTCTGTCATTTGAGTAATCCATTCTCTTCTCTGTACTGATAATATAGTTGAAAATATAAGATACCTGTTTTTGTCTTATAACATTACTATCTGCATTCCTTCTACATCCATCAGTTAACAAAAAAAGCCCACCCCCAAAATTCTACTCCAAAACAGCTGTAGTTTTTCAAAAGTTCCTCCCACCTTTAAGATACATCATCAGAAGAGGAGATTCCTAGTCTTTAAACCATAAAATCTCACTCTACTGCATTTCTGCCCACATGAAGGCATGTTGACAACTTATGTAGCAATGGCTACATAAAATGTTTTATCACAAAATGCTTAATCATTAATTTATCATTTCACACTATGTGTTGTTTGTAGCACACGTTTTGACTATTTGAAAAAGACCTTGTCTAACTTGTCTTTATTCCATCTTTATGAGATCCCTTTAGAAAGTATTACAGGAAGGAGAAGGCAAGCTGCTGGGGAGGAGACGTGTGGCTGAAAGAGCAGTGCAGGACCTTGGACCACTGTTTTTAGAGGCTTCGGTAAATATGCATAAAAAATCCATCATAAATTACAGTTTTTCTCATATATATTAAATGTTAACAGTCACATTTAGTCATGTAATTCAGCTTCTAAATAATAATTGATAACTGTAAGGATATTGCATGTTTTCCAGCGCACTGCAGAGGCCTACAAAGTCAGAATAGCAGAAAAATACAGCCAAATGAAGGCCCTGATTGAAAAGGATGAGCAACTCATGATGGGTATTCTAGAAACAGAAGAGTTTTACACCAGCAAGTGGTTGGAGTCTAAGAGAGAGTCTTTGGAGTGTCATATCAGAGACATTGATGCTCTACTGAGTACAAGCAAATCTCTCCTCCAAGAAAATAATGACTTAAAATTTCTGCAGGTGTGTGTCAGTCTTTGTTGCTCTGAATATGTGATTTCTAAGGGTATGAATTTATCTTTGCTTTTTGATTGGTGTATTATTAACATCATATTATCCATATTATATCCTTTTGCAGCAACTCAAAATACACAGACTTGGGTACGTATTACATACTTACAAGATGTACCAAAATATTGTAGCATAGTTATGCATTATTTATTGTGCTAAACTACCAGTTGCCTCTTACTTTAAATGTAGTATTTTATCCAATTAATTTACATTTTTTGTTTAACAATTTAAAAAGCCAGCCTGGCCAATTAAAGAGCAAACAATGTTCTTTATATTGCAACTTAGGCAAAGTAGAGGAAATCTTGTAATGTATTCTAGTGTTTTTCATGTTTAATTAGCCCACACACTGTAAAGAAACATATAAAAAATCATGACCCCTAGTAATATTTGCATATAGATTGCATCTAGAATGTCTTATCTAAATGAATACAAGAGGAAAGCAAAATTGGTTTCCTTTTTGATTTAAGCTTAGTTGGTATTATATATGATCGTATGCACTCAAGCATATTTATGTTGAAAGAAATCACTAATATACTTTCATGTTTAGTATATGATAACATGTACATATCGCTACTGTTGGACCAAAATGTTGTATTTCCATTTTTGTCGTTTTTCAGTTTTTGACATGATTTGAAAATACCTACTGTCCTTTATATTGTGTGTAAATTTCAAGATGAATGGACCAAAGAAAATGGCCCAAAATTACTTGGAAAAATGTCTGTTTCCATTGACTTACATTAAAAGTAAGATATGTTTTTTCTGTCTCCTGTAAAGTTACCATTTGGGAGATGAGGTTTTGGTCCGACAGCAGCAATATATATCAGCAATATACTATTTAATAATGTATAAATCATACTGTAAAGAACAGGTAATATTTGTAATTTCATGATTGATAATTGTATTTGTATCACTAATTTGAGTGTTTTCATGTTTTCTTTATTATAAACTGTTGATCTCAGAGTCTGATTTAAGTATTGTTTATCATGGTCACAGGGCAAGACAGGAATTAGGCCCGCTGCTGTCACTGGAGAAGGAATACACCACCTCACACAGGATGGAAACAGTAGAACGGCTGGCTGACAGTTTGTATGGAGCTGTGTTCCAAAACACAAGGCGACTATGGGCAAGTACGTACAACATCTCCATTTGGAAACAAGAAATTAAGTGTGGATCCTGTTTACTGCCACACACAGTGTTGCTCAGTGATACTTCATACATCATAGCCACCTAATTAAACATACTGAGTAGTCAGTTTATGACATCAGAACCATTGTTGGCTGGGCATTTTTGGTTGGTGGACTCTTCTCAACTCAGCAGTGATGCAAAGGTGTTTAAGAACTCCAGCATCTCTGCTGTGCCTGATACATTCTAACCAGCGCAACACAAACATCAATGGTCTATCACCAAAAAAATAATAATCATTGGTGGTCCTATAGTGGTTCCTTTTCATTGATATAAAGGGTAGAGCACAGCTGATAAATTGTACAGGAACAGATGGGCTACAGTCAGCAACTGTCTACCTAAAAACTGCCCATACATGGTAGGTGTACCTGATAAAATGGCCAATGAGTGCATATACAAGGTAACCATTGCTAATAAAGTGGCAGCTCAGTGAGCATCATGTTACCCTGTGGAGATGAACTATATCTATACACTTTGTCTCTTTTTTCAGACCTCAGAGCACTACATTTAGACGCAGAGTCAAAACATCCGAAGCTGGAGGTTTCCTCAGACATGCTGGAGGTCTGCTGGAGTAAGCAGGCGAACCAAGAGAGCGAAGATACAGAGCAAACTCAGTCTGAGTACAGCATCCAGGCCAGGGAGACTTTCTCCAGTGGCTGCCACTACTGGGAGGTAGCCGTCTGGGAGAAACCGTACTGGCTAATTGGTCTATCATACAGGTCAGATATGGAAGCAGGACAGAAGACTGCAAATCCTTCCTGTAGCTTCCTGAACCAGGCGTTCTGCTATATTTACCATGGAAATGGAAAATATCTTGCATGTAATGGCTCTGAGGAGACAGTGTTTTCAGTGGGAAAGAAGATTCATAAACTTGGGGTGTGGGTGGATTTCCAAAGGGGAACGTTGTCTTTCTATGATGGAGACACACTGAAGTTGCTTCATTCATTCCCTGTAGAATTTCTGGGGCCTGTCAAACCTATATTCAACCCTTGCATTAGTTTAAACAAGCAGAACATGCAACCTCTGGTTTTATTCAACATTAGAGGCCAAAAGTAGGTCATGGACTTGTACCGTAGTATTACTGCAGTGTTTTACCACTTTCAGTATAATGCATATCAGTGTTTATTGCATGCTCTTGCATAAGACAGTGAGTGAACTGCTACTTTTAGAAGTGTCAAATATCAAATAAAATTCGCTCTCAGCTGTCTACGTCGCCTCCATGGGTTTATTACACATGCAGACATTTTAACATCACATTGTCAATATAAACATCAATGAGAAACTTGTGCTTGGATTCATATGCACTTTTATGTTTTGTTTACCACTGCAAAAATGTAGCACACATAATACAATGCAAAAAACTTGGTACAGTTTGTACATCTTGTGGTTTGTTGGCCTGAAAAGTGGCATCTGTTAGTACTGAATTTTCATATGTATAAATTAGATTCTAATTAATTCTGTATCTTTAAGTTAGATAAATGAGGAAATTTCAGAGTTTATAGCCCCCAAAACAAAAAGAAATGAATACATACGCACACGCATACATACATACATACATACATACAAAAGATCATCATGTCATTAAGGAACTAGAACTGTGTTCAAAAACCACACACTACCATTCTAGAATGTTAAAATATTACACCACCATATCGCTGTTGTCGGAAGAAAACCTTGTATCTCCAAAATGATAAATTTACATTTCTGTTGGTGCATTCATCATGAAATTTTGACACAATGTAAAGGGTAACAGGCATTTTCAAATCATGTCAAAAACTGAAAAACATCAAAAATGGAGATACAAGGTTTTCTTCCGACAACAGCGATAAGTAACAGAATAGTATAGTGTCACATCGTTTTGGACTCATGACAACTGACAACTGAACTGCAGACTTTTCCACAAGCAATTAAAAAAATTTACACATATATATATATATATATATATATGTAAATATAGGCATTGAGTCAAATGCCTTATATAGGCATTGAGTCAAATGCCTTAAAATGACTTAATGTAAGACCTAATTACACCACCATTACTATTTTTTTATTAACAATGTTACCATTGCTACTTAGCAATTCGCAACAGGTTTGTAGGCTAATGATGATCATTTGATTTACTCAAATGTAAAACGTTAACTACTAACTGCAGGACACAATTATGAGAGTTGTATTCAACAAACATTTCCTAAAAGGCTAAGATAAATGATCATTACTGGAAGTTTTGTTTTAGTTTTCATTTTGTTTTTTTGTTTGTTTGTTTGTTTTTTCTTTTTGCTTCTACTCAAGCTGTTTTTTATTGGTACTTTTATTTCTACTGGAGCCAATTCCTTGAAGAAAAAAACTTCCTTCAGCATCATGTCACCTCACCCCCCTCTGACAGAAAGACATCCGCACGCTAGGTGGCGGCAACGCAGCTTACAGACATTCAGAGAAGAAGGCGAAGAAGAAGAGAAGGCGAACATATCCGAACTAGCGAAAGACAGTATTTTGTTTCTGTGTTTATCGCTTACGTTCAGTGTCTTCTGCAGTAGCAGGTCGAGAGAAGCAGTGTGCTGTGATGTTTCCTCGCTGTGTGTTGAACTGCTGAAGCTCGGAGCGGTGGTCGTGCTGTGGAGCTGCTGAGATGAGGGTCAGCCTCTCTTCACTCGGCGCTGCCGCCTTCAGGACGGCGTTTGATTTTGGTCAGAGAGAAGTGGCTCACTGGTTCCCTGGACACATGGCTAAAGGTTTGTCTGTGAAGGACAGTCACCCTGTCTGACCAGATCAACATGTTCATTGAGCCGCAGAACAGTGGGAGGTTTGGCCACCTGTGAGTGTCAGTGTGAACTGTTAGTTTTAGTATAATACAATAACAGACTAAACACCTTAAAAGTATTAATTCTCTTCTTAAATAAATCCGTTTTAAGTGAAAGTTCTGTAGTGAAGCCCCTGCCCCTTCAACCGTGGTCTCAAAGAGAGCTGTTTGATTGTCTTTTACTGGAGGGTAGCTTACTGATGGATCATTTTACTCCACATCCCAGAGCTGTGGAGGCCAGTTTCCACCACTGGAGAAAAATAAATAAAATATACATTTAGTAAATCATAATAATGAGAAAGTTTTCCATAATTATCACTTTGTATCTCATAATTATGTCTTACTTTCTCATAATAATGAGAAAGTGTTTGATTTATGACCTGATATCTCATAATAATGACATCTTTTTATAACTATGTGAAAAAAAGTCATGAGAAAGTCATAATTTTGAGATGCTAAGTCATAATTATGAGTTACTTTCTCATATGAAGTAATTATGAGATATTAAATCATGGTCATGAGATTGAATCTCATTATGAGTTACTAACTCATAGTCATTGGAAGGTCAGTCATAATTATGAGATACTAAGTCACAATTATGAGATAGGATCTCATTATTATGAAGCAGCAAGTCATGATTATAAGATGTGATGTCATGGAAAACTTTCTCGTTATTATGACTTACTAAACGGCTATAAATTTTTTTCCAGTGGAAGAAACAGGCGTCCTTACAGAACAATGTTGAGAATAATAAAAATATCAAATGTTATCGCTGACTGACCAAAGTACTAAAAACACAGTGAAATATGAATATTTTAGCATTCAGAAGAAATTCTCATGGCAGTACTTTCAAGGGCTTTACTACACAGCAGCACCCTACATTTGTGGATACAGTAACCAGCATCTCAGAAAATGAAGTTAGCTAGCAGAGCAGAGCTATGTTATGTGGACATAACACCAAATCGAGGTTGCTATATGGCCACAGATGGCCACATATTACTGGTAAATAGCTTACATGATAATTTAAAATCGTGACATTGATAATAACGACAGTGAAAAGAATGAAATTGGGTGGGTCAAATGACATGTTTTGTTGATTTTTTAAGTTAACACATCTTCTGGCGAGGACGTGCTTCTGCGTATTTTAGTGCACAATTACAGCTTATTTGCTGAATTTAATATATCAGGGAAAAAAATTAAACATAAACTCTGGCCCATGCAAAAGCCAAAGTATATTTTATATTTTATGTTTCATTTTAATAAATAATTTAAATGTAGTAAATTTTAAATACATTTTTTGCCCTACAATTTGCAGAAATATCATAATTAAATTCCCTGTACAAGATATGTTAACTTATTTTCACTTAGGAAATAATTAAAACATGTAATTTGAGCAAGGGTATTAAATATGATACAAATTATATGTCAAAACACTGATAGTACTGTAACCATGAGCTGTAGGCCATGCAGTTGTTCACATTCCCTCAACTCGGATTCAGTGACCTCACTGTGGAACCTGTGAGACAACACAACTGATGTAGGCTGATTCATGTTTGTTGCCTTGTTCATATAACCAACTTTATCTGTCTCCTCTTAGGACTCAAGCAAATGAGAGCCAGTTTGAGGAAAGTGGACTGCATCATTGAAATCCATGACGCAAGAATATCCTTTGCAACACCACATGCTCTGTATTACCTATAAAGCTGCAGCTGAATAATTGGGATATTTAATTCTGTTACTGATATTCTGTCAGACATCTGTTTTACATTGTGAAGAGGTATGGGGTCATCTATATCACACAGCCCCAGTTTACATATTTCTTTAACTAGCAAACATACCATTTTCTGGAAGAAATCCTCTGTTTCAAGAGAATCTTGATGTCCGGCCACATTTACTTGTGCTGAATAAGATGGACTTGGCAGACACATCCAAGAAATGGGTATCAAAACATGCTTCCACATTTACACTTCATCACATCTTAGTAGTTTACTTTTAGCTCATTAACTACTGGGGCTAGATATGCTGATATACTCTGATTTAAACTTTAATTTAGCTTAAAATTAGTAGTTTAGTTCAATGCTGTGCATAAGTCACAGCAAAATAATTTTTTGTTAAACATCTTATTAGTGTAGTAATAAACATAGAACACTGATACACTAACACTGATTTTATTTGATCAGTTATCAAAAAATTAGCTATAACTGTATCTTTTTATTTCCTCAGAGTATTCTGAAACAGCTTGAGAGAGATGGTGTTAAGAACATTCTGTTCACAGACTGCCTAAAGCAAAGAGATGACAGTGTTAAAAAGGTAAGTCAAATAGAAGAAAAATTTCCTCAACTTTGAATAACAGAGCCAGACAGATGAACCATTGTATAGAATTACATTTAATTTCCACTGTGGTAATGTTTCTCTTTGTGTTGTGGCAGATAGTTCCTCTTGTGACTGAACTAATACAGAATGCACCACGTTTCCACAGAGAAGAGGTGAGCTGTGCAAAATGACAGATTCTTAGCCCTCTTTTTTGAACTACATTACGTATGTGTACATCATGAACTCATTAAAGCCTAAGGGTCTGGATCTCAAGAAGTACATAACTTATATATTAGTTGTATATTTCTTATTGAATAAGTCTAAAGATTAATAACTAGTAAGCATAGGGTTCAATAATTAAACTGTTTTTAGTTGAAACAGTTGGCCTTCCACATATTAAGTGATTTCCAGTTTTCTTTATGAGATGAGTTGTCTTTCACTCAATACTAACATGAATATGGTTGTCTAAGTAAATGAGCTTGTTCCCTTTCCATCAATGGATAGGACAGAAGTTACTGCCTAATGGTGATTGGAGTGCCAAATGTGGGGAAGTCCTCACTGATTAATGCTTTAAGAAGAACAAACCTGAAAAAAGGTATTTTGTGCATTTTGGTCTTCTACAGTAAGCTATTGTGGTTTCTTGTACTTAAATGTGTTTTAAAAAATAAATGGATACATTAATGAATGTCCTCCTCTGAATTTAGGCAAAGCCTCAAGGGTTGGTGGTGAACCAGGAATTACCAAAGCTGTCTTGACCAAAATTCAGGTATATTAATTTTACCATGGGTTGATTGGTTTGATGTTTGGGTGGGCAATTGAACGGATGCTTGATATACCAGTTAGTGCACCAAACCATGAGGTACAGCCAAGTACAGTAGAAGCTTCCCTTTTTTAAGGTGATCTGACACAGTTTTGACCAAGATTTTCTCATGAAGGTAAAGAGGATTTGGGTAAGAGAGCTAGAGCTGGTTAATGTAAATGTCAGGGTTCATTCATGAATGCTGTTTGTTTATTTTCAGGTTTGTGAAAGGCCCCTCATGTATTTACTGGACACACCAGGAGTGCTGCCTCCAAAGATTGAGAACATAGAGACTGGAATGAAGCTTGCTTTATGTGGTAAGACTTTATTTAGTGGCAGGTCCTTAACAATAACATCAAAATTCAGCTGCTTCATTGTAGGCAATAATCATTTTGATGTATCTTTTTGTCTGACAACAGGTACCATATTGGACCATTTAGTTGGAGAGGATATCATAGCAGATTATCTTCTTTTTTCACTGAACAGACTACAGCGATTTGGGTAGGTTAAATGCTGATGCCAGTTATTTGCAGTCACTTCATGGGATTACAAGTCAGTTAATCAACATTTAATTTTGCAGATATTGCTGGTCATAAATGTGTTACTAATATGTTATAAAACAGTATCAAGCAATTTTACTGCTGTCTCTCCAGGTACGTGGAAAAGTACGAGCTGGAAGGACCATGTGATGATATTCAGCATGTACTCAAGTGTATCGCTGTGAAGTTAGGCAAGACTCAACGTGTGAAAGCTATTACTGGTATAGGTGAGTAGGTGTTGTCAAGCAGCTGAAACATGGTTACTCTAACCTCAGGCATCACAATTTGAACACTTTGCTGATACACATCCATAACTGTATACACAGTGGTTCAGTAAAAAACAGTCAAAACTCTTATTTTAAACAGTGACTCAATGTTTTCCAATATTCAGTCGTGAAACCTTATAATAAGTAAATGAATACAGTAATAAAGCATAATATGAAAGTCTCTTTCAATACAGAATTGACAAAGCTGTGCTCTTAGCCTGCCACCTGTTCATTTTACTCTTAAATCTGTAGGTGACGTCACGATCAAAATGCCTAACTACAGTGCTGCAGCCTACGACTTCATCAGAGCTTTCCGCAAAGGAGAGCTTGGCAAAGTCATGCTTGACTGATAACCCAAGAAAGCAATTGCTTCTGTTAACATGGGATTCATGATATTCATGGACAATACAGCTGGTTTCCCTGTATGAGGGCAGGTTTGACACTGCAGACTGAAGAGGTACTTGCGTTTAATACATTAACTAAATTCTATTGCAAAGGAGATGCTTTGGTGCTGTCACTCAATATCGTACAGTTATCATGTGATACACAGGAAATGCTATATGTAATACCATTATAACAGTTCAAAAACACCAACAATAAAATATCTATTTACATAAAACAGATGTCCTAGGTAATACTAAAACAGCACCTTGAATATTCTCATTGAAAAATAATTTCTCATGTCATGTAAACATTCCAGGGAACCACGATAGAGGTCAGTGGTAGAAAAATGTGACCCAGTAACACTGCTCTAAGAATATACAACTTCAGGAATAACAAAACTAAGCAATCAAGTCACAAATGCATATAGATAAAGCTGCTGTCTTACACTCAATTCTTTCTTCATAAATCAAACTGAAATGTTTTACTCCTAATCAGATACTATTAAGAGACACAAACAGTCTCATATTGTACAAAATATATTGTTCTGAAAGTGGTAAATTATTATAATCCTATCAAAATGAATCTTACTGAATAGACAAGTGACAAGACTGAGTGACAAGTTTGTCTTGTTCCATTGTTCTATCCCCAATCATGTTTTATAAACCTTTCTAGAAAGTGATTTTTCAAATAGTTATTTATGGTATAATACCCCAAAAATCTTACAGAGATATACAAACCTTTAAAATGAAGAATAGCCTATTACAAATGTAGAAATGTACAAACTAGTGTACATGTAGGAAGGAAAAATGGAGTGTTATCTGTCTGTCTATTTGTCTATCTATCTGTCTATCTAAAGGAATCACCTGTATAGTGGTTTCAGAGGTGAATATGGATTGTGTTCATCTAGTACGTATTCAAGCAGGATATTGTGCACTTCATATACATCACAACATAACAATAAGGTGGCAAAACATTTACACAATCTTAACAGCTTCTGTAGGTTTTGATATGGTCTGCATAAGTGATATAGGGATTTTATAGTTATTTGCTACTGCTTCTGCTGAAGCAAAATATAATATGCACGTAAACCAAACAAAATATTTTCCATAAAGCCTGTTTTTAGCTAATCTTCAGTTATTGTGGTTCACTCTGCCGCCTGTCTCATGTGACCAGTTTCCTCTGTGGAGTGCAACAAACAGGGTACACTATTACAAATCTTAGGAATACACATTGCACAGTAACTTAGGATATAGCTTATCTCAAGGTCTCAAAGCTGTATATTGGAGCTCAAGAAATCAGAAAGTTTATTGGCAGTATTAGTGAGATTAGTCCACTGTATGCGAAATCATGAGTCACTGCACTTGATGTCCGGGCAAAATAAAGCTCCCAGTCTGTTCTGTTCCCGTAATAATCGTCCCCGCGCTCTGAGCTGTCGTCTGGTCGGCGCTGGGCAGAAGCGTACCATCCTCCAGCACCCAGCGCAACTGCAGCCCCGGCCGCAGCTGCTCCGGCCACTCGCACAGAGGATGAACCACGCGCACGTGATGCGCGGCCTCCACGCGCACTGCCCCGGGCTGAACCCCTGGCTCCCCCTCTGCCACCTTTAGACATCACTTGGTCATACAGGAATGCTGAGAGAAGCAGGAATATCCAGCATGTAGCTATGGCTCTGTTCATTCTGGATCCCCTTGAAAACATGAGGCAGCAGATAACCTGTTATACAAAACTGCATTTTTGTATTGTTACTACTTTTTAAAATAATTATGTATGCTTGTCAATGAACCAGCGGTGGATTCAGATTTGAAATACAGATCACACTAAGAAATGGAAGCCAGAAGAAACTGAAATTCAAAGTGCTTTTGCTTTGTTTAGGTTCAAAAACCTCTAATAAGCTAACAAGATTATTTTATTTTAGTAAACAATCTAAGAGAGAAGGGCCCAGTCCTATAGATCTATTACCCTGTAGAATTTATATTCAACACACCTGGCTATAATATTCAGATGCCCCTGAAGGACTTCATTATCCAGATCGGGGTATTAGATTAGGGCTGAAGCTAAACTCTGCAGGATAGTAAATCTCCAGGGTCAGGATTGGGCACCCCTGATCTAAAAGGTTACATGTTCTAATTACTTTTGGATTGCCCTGCATGTACTTCTCCACCATGAATGGATTACAACACGAAATGATTTTGGACAGAAGCATAACTAAAGCTATCATACAGCAATGTGTGTAATGGACATTAGGAAGCATATTTGTATCATTTTGCGTAATAGCTTTCTGTAAGGTGTCTTTTAGAGGCAGAACCATTTCAGAGGTCTGGTTCCTATCACCACCACTATGAACAAATCTGACTTGGTTTCTTTAGAATAACTTTGTATCTCAACGATTTAATTGTGCAGAAATAGGTAGAATTCCCTTTTAAAACAGTGCCATATTGCTTAAAGTCACTAAGGAAGTGCAGAGAGTAGTCTGTGACCAAGACCATTATAAAGCAGACATTATATGAATTTAAATCAGCAAATCAAAAACATCAAAATGCACAGTGTAGTGATTTCTTTCCCAAGTCCTACAAATACAACAGGATGTGAAATGAGATCTTGCTAACAGGCGCCAACTAGCATTAATTGTTTTTTTTTTTGCCATGTTAACAATTTTTGAGTCAAGAAGGCCTGTTTGTTTACAGACGCTTTAGTTTGCCCAAAATATGACTAATCAGTATTTACCGATATAGGAATTGTGGGCTGATGCCAATATCTGATATTTTTCATGTACATATCTGCGGATGCTGATACTGCTGTTGATACATACACTGATCATAGCATAACATTAAAATAACCTCTGTTCTAATGGTTAGGATCCCCACAGGACCACCACAGAGCAGGTATTATTTGGGTGGTGGGTCATTCTCAGCACTGAAGTGACACTGACGTGCTGGCAGCATGTTAGTGTGTGTTGCGCTGGTCTGAGTGGATCAGACACAGCAGTGCTGCTGGAGTTTTTAAACACTGCACTGTCACTGCTGGACTGAGAATAGTCCACCAACCAAAAATATCCAGTCAACAGTGTCCTGTGGGCAGCGTCCTGTGACCTCTGATGAAGGACTAGAGGATGATTAGCTCATACTGTACAGCAAGAGATGAGCTGTCATCTCTGGCTTTACATCTACAAGGTGGACCAACAGGACAGGTGTGTCTAGTAAAGCGCACAGTGAGTGGACACAGAATGTGTTAAGAGTAACATAACGTATACAGAAACAGGTAACACAGGTAAGTGTGTTGTTATCCCACATGGAAATCTGATATATGGCTATATATGCACATATAAAGGATCAATCATACATTTCAAAATATATATATGTCCAAATCTCGGACATACACTATGTGGACAAAAGTATTGGGACACCTACACATTACACCCACAGGAGGTTTTATGACATTCCATTCTAAATCCATAAGCATTAATATGGAGTTGGTCCTCCCCTTTGCTGCTATAACAGCTTCCACTCTTCTGGGAAGCTTTCTATAAGATTCTGGAGTGTGTCTGAGGGAATTTTAGAAGAAGAGCATTTGAAAGATGTTGGACAAGATGCTGGCTTGCAATGTCTGTTCTAGTTCATCCCAAAGGTGTTCAATAGGGGTTGAGGTCAGGGCTCTGTGTGGGCCAGTCAAGTTCTTCCATACCAAACTCACCCAACCATACCTTTATGGACCTTTCTTTGTGCACTCAGGTCCAGTCATGCTGTAACAGAAAAGGTGGTCCTCTCCCAAACTGTTCCCACAGAGTTGGAAGCACACAACTATCCAAAATGTCTAATCTATGCTGAAACATTTCCTTTCACTGGAACTAAGGGGCCTAGGACAACCCCTGAAAAACAACGCCATAGCATTGTCCCTCCTCCACCAAACTTTACAGTTGGCACAATACAGTGAGGCATGTAATGTTCTCCTGGCATTTGCAAAACCCAGACTCATCCATCAGACTGCCAGACAGAAAAGCATGATCCGCCACTCCACAGAATATGTTTCCACTGTTCCAGTGGCAGTGTGCTTTACATCACTCCATCTAATGCTTGCCATTGTACTTGGTGACGTAAGACGTGCATGCAGCTGCTCAGCTGTTGAAACCCATGCCTTGAAGTTACTGACATACAGTTTTTGTGCTGATGCTAAAGCCAGAGGAGGTTTGGAACTCTGCAGTTATTAAGTCAGCAGAGTGTTGGTGAAATTTATGCACTATGCTCCTTAGCACTCGGCGACCCTGCACTGTATCTTTATGTGGTCTGACACTTCATGGCTTAGTTACTGGTTCATAAATGCTTCCACTTATCAATAATACCACTAAGTTGATCGTGGAATATCTAGAAGGAAAGAAATTTTGCGAACTGACTTGTTGCAATGGTGGCATCCTGTTACAGTACCACGCTTGAATTCAATGAGCTCTTTAGAATGACCCATTCTTTCATACATGTTTGTAAATGCAGACTGCATGGCTAGGTGCTTGGTTTTATACACCTGTGGCAATGGGCCTTAATGAACCATCTGAATTCATTAATTAAGAGGTTACGAAACTTTTGTCCATATAGTGTATATGCATAATATATGGAACATACATATATAGATAATAGGTGGGTGAACACATAATATATGTATCATACGTCCCATATTTAAAAGTGACCCATTTTAAATAAGTTGGTTTGTCACAGATATGTCCACATGTGACTAATGTAAGTTGGATATATATGTGAAATCCACATATTGCCATATATCAGATTTCATTGTCAGTATTCAACACAGTGGACTGCTGCCAGTTATTTGTTTACTTCATATACTGGAACCAAGGGCCTCCTGGAGTCAGAGAGAAGAATCCTGGAGACTTTTTTTTTTTCTCTTCAGATATTCTTCTGTGTGACCAGAGTATTTGTACAGGCTGTGTCACACCTCTCAAACCAGTGGCACACTTGGGAGCACATGGAGTGTCCGCTGTTCCTCACACTGCCTCTGGTGGCCAATCCACAGAACTGCAGTTACATTTAATTAGCACTGTAATTGGGGTGATTCCAGAGTTTCCCAATGTGAACAGGATGGCGAACGGGTCCAAAAAACTAAGCTCAGATATAAGATGGGGCGAAATCTGGAGAATTGCATTTTATGTTGAAGCATGCTGGCTGTACTCCATATGACTGAATGGAGTGTGACATGATTAAACGGAGTTCATATAACAATTTACTAGAGTGACTGAAGGATTTTCAAGGAACAAAACTGTAAGGAAATCATAGCCCCGACAGGATTCATAGGCAAAACGAACAATCCACATGGCATTTAGGTTAGTTACTACTCAGCCTGGATTCTCCCTGTCAGGTCTAAGACTTTGTTTTCTTCCAATAACAGCCATCATGGTGGCTTCCATCCTAATAATAATGATTCAGTTTGAGCTTAATAATAAAGAAAGACGATGCAACACTCAGATGATGTGCTCTCATTTGTAGACAACACTGGCTCTGCGTAGCCCTGTTCATAATTCGTCGTGTTAAAAATAGGTCAATGGAAAAGCGAGCAGGCTGCAGGGCTGGTGAGTTTTGCACGAATAGGAAATGTAATAATTTGCGGTTAAGTTTATAATAAGACGGGGATGAGAGGCGAGAGAAAAACCTCACACTGCAGTTTCACAGGTTCACGATGACGCCCAAGCTAATTAGGCTAATTTGTGACCCATAATCTCCTCGTTCCAGCTTTCTGAAACCGCTCCGCTGCTGCGTTTTTCATCGATCAATGACAGCGTTACAGCAGCCCGATCACTACCCAACTAACGCATTAACCGCTGTTATCCGTTTATGTTGTGTCTATCAGCCATGAGGGAGAGAGAGATAGAGAAAGAGAAAGAGAGAGAGAGAGCACTACCTCCAGCGTCCTGAGCACAAACGGCTAATTATGACAGCTTCACTGAGACGCTTTTCATTTCCACTTACCTCAGTTTACGCTCTGGCCTCCAGAATCGAAGCAATTTATCTCTCGATCTCTTCTTCTCATATGAGAAATGAAATCAAACGCATCCGTTACGTAAGGACTGTGATATTAAAGCGCGCTGGAGCAGTGATGGCGGTGGCTTTCAGACGAGGGGAGAGGAAACTGCATACGCCTGCGTGAGCACGAGCGAAATGAATTAGAGACGTGCTGCAAATACGAACAGTTAATAAAACCTGTACGAGAGAGAACAGCTGGAGCTCTTAATATGGTACTGAGATAAAACATGATAGATGGATGGATGGATACTCTGCCAAAAGAAGTCCAACAAGCTTTTTTACTCAAAGTCTACTCACTTTAAAAAAAAACGGTTCTTTAGTGAAGGGAATGGTTCTGTTTAGAACCATGAGTTCTATATAGAACCATTTCATGCTTAAATTGTTCTTTGCTTGGTGAAATGGTTCTTTAGATCGATGGAGAAGGTGCTGTATATGGTTCTATATAGCACCAAAAAGAGTTCTGCTATTCTTACCAGCTTGAACACATTCTCCATCAGTCTATAGAACCATTTCACCATGCATGAAATGGTTCTATCTAGAACTAATGGTTCTAGATAGAACCATTGCATATACTGGAGAACCATTGAAGATCCATCCTTTTTAAACAGTATGTGTAAAAAAAGATTTCCAGTAACACTTTATTTGGATTGGTCCTTTTCAGATGATTAATAAGCTCTTAACAGATTATCAGTAACACATCAACAACATATTAGTGAAACAGCAGTAGTGAAGCATTTGAAGACATTGAAGTAAATATCTTATAGATGTTCTGTTGATACACTACTTACATTAAGTGGATGTATTGTTTATACGTTACTTCCATCATGCAAAACCTAACCCTGGCCCTAATCCTAACCTTAACCTCAACCCAAAACTTAATCCTAACCCTCAAGTGATGTATGCGGGTGAAATATGCTGGTGTGTCCTCACAGAGAAACCCTAAGAAAGGTACAGCATGGGGGAAATGTATATCTTGACAGGAATGAAAAATGGCTAAAATTGACGACACCACTCATCCAACACCACGTTTTATGTTGCAGTCTTATTTTTCATCTATACTTTCACCATGCAACATTCAGAGACTTAATTTAAAATGCTTTTTGTTAAAAGACATAATGAGTGGTACATTAACACACATCACTGAAAAGTATAGATTCTTATTCTTCATATATCTATTAACAATGTGATATTTGCCAGTATGCTCTTAGAAGAAGGTATTAATCCCTTAAATGGCCAGGACCTGACAAATCCAAATTGGTATTACACGCAGCTGTAACTTAAGTATAAGTCAGGCAGTTTGCATTGTAATCCATAGTCCATGCATTGTAAGTGCTGGTACATGAGCATCAGACACAGCAGTCTTGCTGGAGTCCACTCACTGTCCTCTCCATTAGACACACCTACTTTTTTGGTTCACCTTGTAGATGTAAAGTCAGAGACACTAGCTCACCTGTTGCTGCACAGTTTGTGTTGGTCATCCTGTAGTCCTTCATCAGTGGTCACAGGACGCTGTTGGCTAGATGCCACTCTTTCCAGCACAACACACACAAACACGCCACCACCACGTCAGAGTTACAGTGCTGAGAACGATCCACCACCCACATAATACCTGCTCTGTGGTGGTCCTGCGGGGGTCCTGATCATTGAAGAACAGGTTGAAAGGTGGCAAACAAAGTATGCAGAGAAACAGATGTACCTGTTTTGGTGTCAAACTTTTGACTGGTACTGTCTGTATCTTTTGTAAACAGAAACATATTTATATTCATTTCAGGGTCATATTCAGATTAGAAATCAATTATGAATCAAATTAGGCAAGTTTTGCCTCAGTATCGAACCCAACATTGAACACCTTCTTGTTTCACTTCTTATTTGAAGCAGGAAACTCTCAGGTTTGTTATTCCACAGTAAAATATTTTTTGAACAGTGAAAACATGGTTTGTCAAATAATATTATTTATTTATATGGCTCCTTTAAAATAAATAATACACATTCTAAACATCACCAAAATGTTTGTTTACACTGTTACAGTGACAAAGACAAATCTTGCACATGACCAGGCCCACATTTGTGCATCTCAGTAGAGGACATCACGGACAATTCAAAATGAGTGGAATGTTTCCGGACGACATTCAAACAAGTTTACAGTGTCACGCTCTGACCGGGCATCATTTCTGCAATAGTCGTACAGAGATTAAAGACTAATCTTAACAACCTGCCCTCTCTCTCTCTCTCTTTCTCTCTCTCTCTCTCTCTCTCTCTCTCTCTCTCTCTCTCTCTCTCTTTCTTACACACACAAACTGAAAGGGATCTTATTGCTGAAATAATTAGCACTATATGTCAAATCAGTAAATGCTTTATACACAACATGATTTGATGAAGCATGCTGACATTTCATGAGTCATATGTCACCATCAAAATTTAATTTAACTTCAGTGGCCCACTTTCTCCCTGTTTTGTCAGTCTTTCCAGCTGTTTTGTCCTTTATTATTACCCAGGATTTATTGATACTGGTTGATGCCAGCTATGTGATTGAATATTGTATATACTGCAATTTGAGAGTGTAAGTGCTGTTCAGTAAGGCCTAAAATATTATTTGAATTAAAACACTCACTTCATTAAAATTGCTTATTAAAAAAGCAACCCTTGGTTAATCTACAATCCTAATAGTAATAATGAAACAGGTCATGGCAGCATCATTGTCTAGAGAATCATCATCATACCATTCACTGCAAAGATACTTTTACTCCAGTAGATGGCGCAACAAATCACCACTTATACTGAATCCAGTCACAGTGCTGCTACCGTCATGAAGTATGTACATGGAGCGACTTCACATTTCTTTAGTTGAAATTCAGAAACTCCCAGTTTTAGGGTAGGCTGTGTTTTCAGATCAATGTGGCAACCTCCAGTAGCCTGCACTTCAGTCACTGTGATTATGGCCACGGTGATTAATGTGTCCTGAATTAATCCATAATAACATGTGCAGACAATTAATTACATACAGATCAGAGTGCAGGTCATAGTTCCCCCAGGCTGCAGAGGTTCACTATCAAAGTTGCCTAGTTTGAGTACTTTGGGTCACGCTTATAATTTTTTGACTGAACCACTACACTGAGGTCAGAGGAAACAATGTAGCTGGGTGAGCAAGAGCACTTGTTTACAAAAGTGAAATTGGTCAGTTATGAGTCCACAGCATTTAGGGATCTGCAATAAGCACAGCATGGGTTTGGTATTGCTGTAACTGAAAACAAAATCAGAGAGTACTAAGTTTTTACCAGACAAATAGCCCTTAAGGTCTACTTAAAGTTTTCATATACAATATGTGAGATGCTGGAACTGAAAGGAAGACTTAGGCACATGTTCTGTCTCCAGTGGTCACCCACTACTGTAATCGAAGGACAGATTCTAAAAATACTTTTTCTTCAGTAACTCTTCATGTAAGGTCTGAAGACCATGTTTTTGTTGGCAAGCAGAAAAGTCTGTTAATCAATTACTGAAGCTTTTGCTAACTATATTCTAGTATGCTGTGTCTATTTGAGGCTTGAAAGCAGGGAAACCAGTTTTTTGGCAGTTAGTCCACTGCAGTAGTGGTGCGGGTACAACAGCCTGGAGGATGCAGAGCAGCCATTAAACCCCTCCTTCTCCGCTGGCTCTTCCCCATGCTGTTCTGGGACATATTTGTGTCCTGTCGTGCGAGCTTTGCTGCCTTTACTGCGGTCTCCTTAATCTGCAGCTCCAGGTGCTTCTGAATGGCCAGGCCCAGCTCCTCAGGGTCCACTGAAGCTCCGTAAACCTCCCATGTCATTCCTTCTGCGTCCCACTTCACCTCCTTCACTGGAGACTTCTGAGATGCTGCAGGCTTGTCTGTATCGTTTTTCTCATCCACCAGACAAACCTCTGGGAACACGTGTTGAGGCGGCCTTTCTGAATCCGTCTGAACCCCCACCTGAACCCCAACGTCCCTCAGCTCTTTGCTGGAGGTCATGGTCCCTGCATCTCTGGTGCTTCTGCCTTCATCCCCAGCTTGCGGCTGCTGACTCCCAGCCTGGCGTAAAGGACCTGGCCAGTTGCAGTCCAGATTGCAGCAGCGGAGCAGTCGCTTGGCATCCAGCCCTGTCTCACTGACTGAGGAAATGAGCGGCGGGAGGGCCAACAGAGCCGGACCACCCATCTGTCCCCTGCAGTCCACCTCCAGGCCAGTTAGCCGTGGCAACAGCTGGGCAGGAGCTGGGATGGGCTGGGGATGACAGTAAGCAGCGAAAGTGTCCTCAAGAGGTCCTCCATGCTTGTATGAGCCGCAGCAGACAGCTTCTTCAAACCGGGCATGTTTTGTGTCCATACCAACATCCCCTGATAATTGAGGAGGGCCAGAATTGCACATATGAACGCAGCAACTTTGCTGGGTCGAGCTGCCTGAGCCACAGCTGCCTGCTCTGCAGAAGGTGGTGGTAGTGCTGCTCTGCTGCAGTTGCATGGCCTGCTTGCAAATGAAAGACTGGATAGGGGCTTCTTGATTTTTACCTAGACACTTAGAACCACCAGTTTCATAGTGAAGAGGAGGTGCAGGGCCTTCCATCTGTATTTGCAGGCTGTCCGAGTGGCTCCTCTGAACAGATAGCTTGGCCGGGGCCAGACTCTGCTCTCTTAAGTCTTTGTGTGAGGAAGAAGTGTTCTCCTTGGAGGCCAGTGGCACCTGCTCATTCCGATGGATCATGCCATCTCCCAGCTGTAGTTCTACCCCCTCAGATATGTGAACTTCTGCAATACTGTGAGGACGTGTCACATTGCGAATACCTAAGCGGTCGGCTGCACGGTGTGTGACAGGAACTCTTGCTTTCGGTTTTATATGGCTTTCTATATCTTCCAGCACTTTTTCTGAGCACGGTTCCTCACTGGAGCTCTTACGGAGCTCTTCAGGCTGGACTTGGCCCTTCACCAGCTCAGTGGAGGTCTTTGAGAGTGGTAGAACGCTGTCATTAGCGATGGTCAGGTCGGACAGGACGGTGCCCTCTGGTGCGAGTGCTTCTGACACAGGACGCCCACTCTCCGCCATCGATAACTAAAAGAAGACGGAATAGAAGGATCAGTTGGTTTTTTTCTTAACTGCAGTGGTCCTGAATACTCTACATTTTACTGATTACCTTCCTCTAACTCAGGGAGGGTTTGTTCAAGAGATCAAAAGGAACTTTGTCATCCATACTATATGCAAATATATAGTAGAACAAAACAACATGAACAAGGCAAAGACTACAGTGTAGTGCAATTCAAGAAGACAGTGTAGTACAACACTAATATACAAACCACAAGAGTGCAAAATTAGGCCTAAAACTTCACAATAAATACAATGCAATAAATATACAGGACAACATGATTCAGATAGTAAAATGTATAAGAATGTGGACTGTGCAAAGAGTGCAGTCTCGTAGGTAGATATGTAGATATGATAATTAGCTAATTGATTAGCTGATTAGTTGGATTAGGTGTGTTAGAGCAGGAAAAACACTTAAACATGCAGAGCAGGGAGACACCAGTGCCAAGGATAATTACATTTGTGAGAGGTTTGCCTAAAATGATCTGTATTTTCAACATTCATGCAGGCCTTACAATAGTATCAAAGTTTAGACAACTTATTACATAATAATAAGAATCTCATTTGTTCCAGTACAAAGAATCCAATACAAATTGCTGTTGACATGTTTTCCCTTAAGTAAATTATCCTGTAATCAAAATTCATCCTTTAGGCCAAAATGAAAGCATCTCTTTCATATGCCTTCTAATTTACCCACAGGTACAATTACATGTTATTGTAATTGTACCTGTGGGTATTGTAAGGATTCCCCTGCAGAAAAAAAGCTGATGCATGCATTGATTGGATTTACTGAATAATGCTGCTAGCAATTAAAATGTCAAATCCACCTATTCTTTTTGAATAAGTTCCTATTTGTTCAAAACATTTGTACGTAGGTTTCCATTCCACAGTATCTGTGGATTTCCCACCAAATATCTTAACAGGCAGACGGGGGATGTACAAAGTGTAAGCAGTCTCCAAATAGTGGACCAAGATTAAAGAAATAAGATTAGCTCTGGATTAGCCTCTGTTGATCCATCAGATTACAAAAGAAATTCAAGATTATGTTTATGTTTTAAGATAGTAAGAGAAGAGGACAGATATACACACAGGTGGACACTGTGAGACTAGCATGTGTTATTATGAAAGATAAGATCAGATGTCAAATGTATAGAATATATGCTCATTACTGGACATTTGTAAAAGCCTGTTGCTTATAAAAGAGTATGGATTCATGACAAAGAAGCATTTCATTGGCGTCTGCTTACCCTCTGAGCATTGAAACATTATTTGTACCATTAGTGTACATCTGGGGTTCATCAGGGTTTACCAGCTTATCCCATTCTCTGGTCAGTCCCCATGTGCACAGCACTGTTACTAATGTGTTAAATGAGGAGTCGCAGCATAATCTACTGCATTAAATTGACTGACAATCCAAGAAGTCTGTTGCAACAAAGGTAAATATATAAAAGGATATTTTTTTAGATAATGAGGTTTAACAAACATATATGAAGCAGAAAAGATTAAGATGGATTGATCATTCTATATATTGCATGTTGGTTAATAAGGAAAAAAGAATGAAAATATTTGTACATAATGCAGACTGAGGAAACACTACATTATATATATTGCTGCTGCTTTTGGAACAAAACCTTGTATCTCCATTTTTGTTGTTTTTCAGTTTTTGACATAATTTGAAAATGCATGTTGCGCTTTACGTTTTGTTAAAATTTCACTAAATGAATTGGCCCGAAATTACTTGGAAAAAAGTCTGGTTCCACTGACTTACATTAACAGTAAAGCAAGTTTTTTTCTGTTTTGCTCCAACAACAGTGATATAAACTAAATAAAACCATCCTCGTAAGAGTATAAATAGGACACTCTTATTCTGCTCTTTTCCGTAAAAGGCTTCTTTCCCATTATGAACCAGAAAAGCCACAAATAACATCTGGAGGCACCTGAGAATCTGCTTCTGTCCAGCGTCACACTCCCTGTGATCAGCCCTTATATTTGTTTAGAGGTGTTTTTTTTAGCATCAGCATTCCTAAACTGCTAAATATAGAGATATCAGATACCACTGCTCTTTCACATGCTGCTTAGTTAGGGGTGAGGAGATCCATTAACCGCCCGCATAGCCCCAGGTGCTATTGTAATTCAATGAGAATCAACTGACTTAGTGGCCGGGCTGTTGAGGTCAATGAACTTCAATTTAGCCAATTTACACAAGCCTGCAAGCCTGCTGGTCTTCAACTCTGCCTGCTCGGGCTGGACATGTAAAACCTCGTTTGTACAACATTAAAAATGATAACCTTAATAGTATTATCTTATTATCTTAAGTGCACAGCAAACAAAACCTCACAGTGTAGAAATCTGTATTAGTGAAAGCAAATGGTGAAATGAATCGAAAGTTATGGATGCATCCAGGAACATAAATAGAGCAGGTTTTGTTTGTATTTTTAAAGGTTCTCGTCGACTGCGTTAAATGCATTTCTGCATAGAGAGTGAGAGCGCAGGTACTGCCTGTTAAACACACTTACTCAGGGCCTGCATGCATTATTCTTTCATAAGGGCTAAAAATACCCGAGAAGGGAAGGTCCCTTCCATGTGCATCCACACACACAAACAAACATTCAGAGGTGCCAGACAGTCAGCTGTCTTCCAATTACCTCTTTTACCCGATGAGCTGTATTATGAACCATGTAGCACTTCACTAATACAGGCGACCAGCTGTAATACTAGTTAGTGTATTACATATTACAGTGAGTGGTTATTAGAAATCATCCTTACCTTGTGCTGAGAGAACCAGATGAAAGGCTTGTTTTCTGCTTTTTCTTGATCCTTCTGTCTCTCTCTGCAGCCTTTCCCTGCCCCCTCTCTTTTTCCTTTCTTCCTCTCTTTAATGTCGGCTTTCAGTCATCCCGGCGTCGGCGCATGCAGGACCTTGAAAGGGGACGGGCGAGCAGGCAGCGGTGTCTCCTTCCACATACACATCCACAGGTGAACCCCCCTCCCCTCCCCTCCTCCCCCCTCTTTTTCTCACTCAGTCCATTAAACCCCACCCATTCTGGCCCATAGTCTCCTCCCCCAGCGCTCCTTTAACACTTCTTCTCCAACAGCAGAAAGGATGGATGGAGGGAGCCTCGGGATAATCTCCTCTTTCATCTGATTACAAACGCTCCTCGCTTGCGCATCTTCAAATCCCCAGCCCGGAGGGAGTTTAAGAGGGTGTGTGTGTGTGTGTGTGTGTGTGTGTGTGAGAGAGAGAGAGAGAGAGAGAGTTGGGAGGGGCGTTTATGTATAGCGGGGTGAAGGAGGTGAATGGGGCTGAACAGAGGGGAGGATGAAAGGATATGGTGATGATGGATACAATTACACTTCCAGCATCACTGTGCTTCCTTCACCCATCTGAGAAAGAAAACAAAGAGAAAGAGAGAAATTCAGGTATAGTTTTCCATATTGAACTTGCTCATAATACGCCTGAGTCAAACCAGCCCAAACACCTCAGATGTGAGAGTACACACACACCGCAGGACTCTCTCACACCTATTTCCTCTCACAACCTCTAACAGCCCGCGCTCTCTCCCACCATCACTCTTCCCCTGTTGCTATGGCAACAGCATTGCTCAATGGGACCGGGATGATTTCTGTTTATTTATTTCTTTTTTTTTTTCCTCTCTTTTTTTTGGCCTCACTGTGAGACAGCAGTGAGGAAGCACACATTAGCGCTGGCTCACGGTCAGCAGGTAATGACAGAAAATCTCGTTTGTGCATCTGTGACAGAGGGTTCCTGGGGGAAAAGATGATATAATAAATGCTCTGAATTTGCAGACATGCCTTCTTCACTGTTTCTTGGTATGGAGTGATGGACAGGACCACTGTCCACAGCATTTGTTTATAAACATATTTAATTACATTCTCAAAAATAAAGGTGCCGAAAGGAGGATTTTTTTCCAGGGCAGGGCCATAGAGGAAGTGGTTCAGATGAGCTGTTTAAAGAACCATCCATTGAACGGTTTCTGAAGGGTTCTTTGAAAGTGGTTCTACTATGGCATCACTCGAAAGAAGTTTTTCTGGCACCTTTGTTTCTAAGAGTGTAAAAGATTCAGTCAGGAGTCAGTACAAAAGAAAAATTAATAGTCTAACACTGAACTATTCACATGAATTCACGTTTTTTTTACCAAGTTTTTGTGTGATAGCAGAACCTGCAATGCACCACAAAGGCTGTCCTGTAACACAGACGCTGCAGGGTGAATTATAGATGTTGTCATCTGTTGGGGATTGAGAATCAGAATGTCTGTGAGTTATGTCCATAATCCATTTGTATAATGCTTGAACGACATGGCTTGACAGAAAGGTTACAAGAAGAAAAAACAGTGTTACGTAATCTCATTAGACTGTCCACATACAGTCAGGCCACATCTTGCTGAGCACTCTTTCGATCTTCAGCACTTCTGTGTCCTTTAATTCCATGCTTTCTATCAATCAGGGCTCACATGAACACGTCAGTTATTGTTTTTTAAGATTAGCAAAGCTACTATTTCAAGCAGCTACAACACAGTACTGCACTGTAATCAATTTCACTGTAAAATTACAGTAAATTACTGGCTACTAGTTGCATTACATTCATAGTAATTTACTATATCATAATAACAGTAAATAGCATCTGCTTTATACTGATAACCCGCTGTCACCTGAACCAAAAGATTACAGCATAATAGCTGTTTTCTGTTATATAGTAACAAACTGTAATCAAATGACAGTAGTTCTCCTGTATTTTTATATAACATCGGTAAAAGTAATGCAACTCAGTAATTTACTGTAAATTTAAAAAGTTCAAAAAAACACAAGTATCTAAGTTTTTTTGCAATTTTTAGCTTTCTACATAATTGGAGCTCAGCAGCTCAGCTTTACATTGCGTGAAAATGTCATGATGAATAGACCAATAGAAATGTTTCAAAATGGCTTGGAATAAAATTATGTTACATTAATTTACATTAATGTAACATAATTGTACAGCTCAACACCAACCTCACAGTAATTTGCTGTGTTATTATAGAAAACATGTTAAGATGAGTTGATGCATGATGAATACAGTAATTTACTGTGAAAAATTAATGTTATATATTGTAAAATCCTGGCAGTAATTGCCATATATTTATATATGTGTTTGTTTTCTTGGTATATTTTCTTAGCTACACTTTCAGCAGAGTAGCTGTGAAAATGAGACATAATTTTCCTGTTAAAATAAAAAAAAGTTGGGCTTTTTAATTAGGGTGTGTATAAAGTGCCATACTTGCGTTTGCTTGTTTAGAAGATGTACAGTATGGAATAGTTGTTGGAGTTGATACATGGAGGATTAAGATCAGGAGTCTTTCTGGAACAGCCTCAACATCTGGAGAGGAGTTAGACCAGATGTGCGTGGATTAAATAACAGAAAACAGATAAATACATGTAGGATTCTCTAACCAACAGACTTTTGTCTTCTGAAGAGAAACACTGTTTAATACCAGTGGATTTAAAAAAATAAAAGAGATGTTGCTTGTCCCAAATACACTATCTGCAAATAATCAGAACAGTGGTTAAATGAGGAATAAATACAATATACTGTACTATATTAAAAGTATGAGCAACATTAGTGTAGCACAAATGTATTACATATTGTGCTTACAATTTGCATGTATTTACATGCATCAATAAAACATTGCAGTAGACCCCATTTCTATACAGGAGGCCAGAAACAAAATGTGCTATGTGACCTCATTTCGAGAAGCAAAAATCCTGCAGCTTCCCATTACCGAGAAAATCCTGCTGGCTTGGTGGTGAAGATGAACAACTTCATCCAGAGCAGAGGCAAGCTTGCAGTTTAGCTTACTTACACACAGCCAGTTACATCACATCTTTACATCTGCAGTCAAGAATCTGTGAAGCAATTTATAGTTTTAGTTCTTATGTAAATAACACCCTTTTAGATGTTTCCAAATATATTCCACATCATATCCTACTGTGAACCGAAAGAGAAAACCTGCATGGTGATGTGCAGCTACCATGCATCATTTGTACACACATACACATCCATAATGGTTTGCTTAACATTTTTTAAAGTAAAGGTGCAGAAGTCAAAATTAAAGATACACAAACCTCCAGCAGCTAAATATGTGAAATACAATATTTGGAACCATTTTTTACTCTTTAGATCTGCCTCCCATTCCTGCCCAACACCACAAATCAACACAAAGCACAGCTAGATGGAATCGATGGTGACTAACGGAGTTCATTTAGATTTTGCTAGCATTACTAGACATTGTAGTTACTTTCTATCAGTAAGGTAGTCTGTTTATTAAGGGTATTGACTTTCTTTGTTAATTAGATATGGATAATAAAAGTGTAAGCTTATGCTAATGTTACTTGTAAGGAGATAAAAATCCATGATATAACATGCATCTTAATAGACTACATTGAGTGAGGTCCTATTTCACAGCCGAAACATCAATTTCAAAGATGTTAATAGCAGTGAATAACATGGTTATAGGCTAGTTCATCTCAGGGTAGTTTGCTTGCTTTCAAAACACCATAAACATCAAAATTGGACTACAGTACTGCTTTCCTCCCAGCAAAGTCCTGATTTGTTCTACTTGGCGAATTATGATGACATAACATTTCACTTATTAAGAGACATTTTTCCATCTAATTATGCTATTCAAGTAGGGGAGAGTGAAGCAGAACCTAACACAGTTTGTTTTTTGTAAAATAATTTTAAAAATATTTCAATTGGAATAATCATGTTTTTAAACAAGCAACATGTACATCTCTGCTACAAACACTTGATCTTTGTTTCTAGCACTGTTCATGTACAATTCCACTGGAAATGACGGGATGCGCAACTGGGGGTGGGGGGGGTTAATTGTAACAGACAAAGAGTTAGTTGTAACGCTTGCTAGAAAAGTCTGATGAGTTACAATTAGTACAAACAAAATTCAATTTAATTCTATGTTACAAAAAACAAACATATTTTCCATCCATACTGCAGTATAAATTACCTATCTATGAGACAGACAGACAGCTGAATTGATAGATACATACACACATCAAATTATAAATGAAAACTGACATGAGACAATGACAAATTTACATAGTAAGGACAGAAATGAAAACTTTACGCATCAGTAAAATATGAAACATTGTTTCTTTACCAACAGTTAATATCAGTTTCATTAATGTACTCATTTAAAACCAAAATACTAACATCTGAAAGATACTAATGAATTGAAGAAAATCCCTGCTTTCAGATGTTTTCTCTTTTTCATTTTAAAATCTGTGTAAACATGGAACAAAAGACAAAATGTACTTGTGTTTGTGTATTAAAGGTGGCTTAGTTGTAATGCTGTGTAACGACTAACGCTGCAGTACAGAGGCTGTACTTGAGCCTAGCTAGCACCTGCTGTGAGCTTGTCACATGCTTGAAAAAGCATTACGTTGTCAGCACCATATGGTGATTAAAGTAATATAAGGTTGGATTTTGTGATTTACACAAACAGCTCAGTAACCAAAAAAAAAGTGTTGAAAAAAATTATTACATGCCCTGAAAACACTCTGTGGCACAGATTTTTTTAAAACATTGATGAATTGTTCTGAATTTATGCAGGAGGCCTTGGCTAGGAATTGTGGTAATGCTCCAGAAGCACACACTGCTTGACCCTTTTAATCACCACAGAAAGTCTGTGCTAAAATGTGCCCTGCGTTAGGTTGTTCCCCGCACTCCCCTACTCTCCAAATTCTTCTTTGTATAGCAGCAGCGTTTGGCCAGAGGGAGCATCAAACTCCCATGTCTCTTGTGCAAAGTTACAAGTCTACAAACACTTGGCCTTTGGTTCATATCGATTTACTGCTCGAGAATTGACAAAAATGTCTTTGCTGTCCTGCTTTATTTGTAATGATCTATAAAGAGGAAAATGACGCCTCTACAGCAGCATTTAAGGGTAAGATAAAGACAAATATTTATTTAATTGATTCATTATATGAATTCAGCCATTTAAACAGTTCAGCTCTTTGTATTGCATTTACGTATCTGTCCAGGAGGAACGTCGCCAATTCCTCTCTGTAATAATTCCACCTTTGAAAAGTGATCTTGATTCTTGTTTTAGCACGTATCTATTTTCTGCAGTACAGAATGTTTTTCCCCTCACAGTACTAGAACCTGCCAGTGCAGTTCGCTTAATGGATACTACAATGTGTTCTTAGTCAGCAGAGAGAGATGAGGGAGTAAAGTGACTCAAGGAAGGTCTTATAAAATGACTGACAGGGGGTGTAAACACAGTCAAGCCCTCTGCTGTGTAGTGCAGTTTTACAAATGAGGTTTTTCAGGCACATAATACATTTGTGTTGATGCCATTGTTAAAACAATATTTTTTTATCATGTTCTGCACTCAACTCTACTTTTCTAATTTAAAACAACAAATATTTATTGACAAAGACACCAGAATTTCAGGAGATTGTGAGTGGTAAAATGGACTAAGGGTTCACCCCCACCGGGAAGTCTGTGAGTTTGAACCCCAGTGATCCATAACTGGGGGCCCAAAAGATACCATCCTCATGGGACTGTTTGATGGAAAGAGCCTCAGCTAGGGGGGGGGGAATTGAGTTAAAAATAAAATCTATATTGTTTACTTTACTGAGATGCAGAACTAAAAAAGAGAGTTGCGAGAACTTTTGACTACACTAAGAGGTTTGAGTTGGGTAATCTCTAGTTTCCTCAAATAGACTTAACTCAAGAAAAGTAGTGTAATAAGTTATCTTATAATTTCAAGTTGAGCATTCATTTTTAACCGTGCACATATTTTCCAGGTTATAAAAGAAATAAATCAACTAAGAAATCACAGTAAAACAAAAACAAACTACAAAAATACAAACAAGACAATAACAACAATAATAATAGTCATGATCATGAGTTAGACGAGGCAAAAGGAAGAGAAGATAACTTTGGGAAAATGCATATTGCTGCTGTCGGAAGAAAATCTTGTATCTCCATTTTTGTCGTTTTTCAGTTTTTGAGATAATTTGAAAGTACCTGTTACCCTTTACATTGTGTGTAAATTTCATGATAAATGGACGAAAAGAAATGTCCCAAAATGACTTGGAAAAAAGTCTGGTCCATTGACTTACATTAAAAATAAAGTAGGTTTTTTCCTTCTCCTGTGAAGTTACCATTTTGGAGATACAAGGTTTTCTTCTGACAACAGCGATACATTAACAGTATTGATGATTTGATGGTTAAAACTACTATAATATTCTGTGATGTCCTGATGACAGAATGTTGAAAAGCTCAACTAACAAAATCTTATGCTTTTTTAGAAAAAATAGAATTTATTCAGGAAGAAAAATGCAAAGGACTTAAAAAACAGTGCTTTTCCAATGAAAGAGCAAACATAGCCTTTTGGTTCTTTTTAATTTTACCTTCAAATGTCCAAAACTGCATGTAGACATTATATATTATGTGCTTATAAAATCAGCTTTCTCTTCTCAAGTTTATCTGACGTGATCTTTGAACTTCACTTTACACCTGCATGCTGTTTTGTGGCTATGTTGACATTGGCAGCAAACAATGGTTCCAACTCATAACCCATTTGACAACTTTACGTACATAGTGCGCTCCAGACAGAGTGTATCAACGCAGGCAAAAAGTTATAGCAAGGCTTTGTCCTCTCTCTGCTGTCATGTGTATGGTGGCAGTAACGAATGATACTTGTGCTTTTCTGTTTAAGTCATGAGCTGAGCTTTGCTTTTACATAATGTTATTCAG